CCAAATAGAGTGCTATATATATATATATATATAGTACTCTGAACTTTATTCATTCACGTCCACACGCATCACGAGAACAGTTTACGATTTTTCGATACACTTCTTCATAGGTTTACCGATGAATCAGTTCAGCAGTCGGTGTTCTGGAAATCTTCATGGAACGGGATTACGCACCTTTACGGCTTTGCACTGATTGCATACCAGTGTGGGCTGCTCAAAGCTCTGTGTACAGTTCTAGACGAATATGCAAAGTAGATGTTGTAAGGGAGAAAGAGGCGTTCTTGAGAGATGATGTACAAGAGTGATATATACCTTTCTTGCAGTTCAAGAGGAATCCGTTGGCAAGTGACATAAGGCCTTCACACATGTCTGCAGCGTAGCACAACTGTACAGCATCCACACTACTTGAGGAGTTATTCTCCAACAGCCCAAATTTAGTTCGTTAGATTTCTCTGCTGCGATTGAGGGGATTCGCATCCGCGAAACATGTCAAGGCCGGGCATTGGGGCACAGGTTAAGGGTCAAACACGATAACATTTCATGTGCTCCCAATCGCTTCCTGCAACCGGGTCGTCAAGTTCAGATGGAATCTTCGTTCCCTGTTCTCTCACAAAACCTAACTCTAAAGGTTCCGTCGGTTTGCGCGGCTCGGTTAATCTAAGTTCACAGGCCAGCTTTGTGTACAGATTTTGAAGCAATGTCGTTGGCTATCCTAGTTCGGATCATGTGATACTAGCTTTAACATATTGTCTGTCTGCTGAGCGTTGGTATCCTCCATGTTTTTCCTAATATAATCTCCATGTGTTACTTCTCCCGGTTGTTAGGAGTAAATGATGGACAAATTTTAACCTACAGCGATTGGTTTCTATCTATACTGATGCGATAGTTGATGATGATATTGACAGATGCTGGGTAACGCATGAAAACTCGTTGCCATTTCTCAGGTCAAATTTCAGTCGTCGGATGTTGGTTTCAGGCCTTTTGAAAGTTGAAAGCAATCCTTGCGGAGGTTTCACTGCATGTGATTAGCATGAACAGGTGAGAACAATGTGGGATCAGCTCCGTCCATACCTGACTCCTCAACCTTGGTCTACGCAGTCCCTGATTCCTACGGATCAGCAATCCCCTGCCTATTTGCATGTTATCATACCAAGACAGTGTTACCGGGTTTACTCGGGTATTGTTGTGCCGGATTCCTCTTTTCGAATTTAAAACGTAACCCCAGACTAATATGACATCAACTTCGGTGGGGGTCCGAAAGTGATTTTCCTCTACCTATTCTGCTTTGCATATCAGCTGGTTTAGAGTTGAACGGGTTCCTTAGAATAGTGATGCTGTTTTTTGGCCCATCCACATGTACCGAGATTAGCCGTTAATTTTGTGGAATGACCATATTTCTACACAAGCAATTCATCCAGTTACCTTCGAGACTTGTGCAGACTCACTGATTTTATCCTCAAGTCATTAGATGGCTACATATTCCGCTATTCCTATCTGTTTCTTTCCAGCTGGGAACTTCAGGATTTCAACATGTTTCCTGTTCATCCGTCGGTCACCCGAACAAAGAAAAATGATAAACCTATTGCCAAGCTTACCCGTTCAGTACGAGGTGATCCGAATACTTTGCCACAAGACCCGTTGAAACAGCCGTCCGAAGTAAACTGGTTTCTAAGCAGAGTGGAAGAGTTACGACGGTTTTTGAAGAATCGTCGCGCCATTTTGCTGTCAGATGAAAATACCGACGATGAACTGGTCAACAGCGATTCCCCTCCAGTTTTGATCTTCTCACGCAAATTGGAAGGCTGGTCTGTCAAGCCATCCAATCCAGCAAATTCGAAGCATAGTGGTGACCCACAGTTCCACCTCGTCCCGAATTTCGTGAGATCACGTGCGAACAATGGGAATCAGTTGGATCTCTCGGCGGTCACACTAGGGATTGGAAGCAGTTGGTCTGCCGCATTCCATCCAGGTCGTGCGAGGAAAACCAAGCATGCTGTCGTCGTTCCCGCAATGAGACCGGAACCGGCGCACGGGAACTGTGACGGACTGGACTTGGACCTGCTCGATCTGGTTGTCCCTGGTGGTCTTCCGCCTCCAGCGCTCCTCACGCACATTAAGGCGGATTGGGATGGTGATCAACGCTTGTCTCTCCTCTCCGTGTTTCATGTGGGGCAGTTGGTGTTTGTCCAAACACCGCCACACACAGGTCGTGTGGGCGAGGTAGTCTGCACATGCTTGCTTTTTTGGTGGACATCATTAGCACTCGTGCAACTTTCTTTTTTTTCGCAGTATCTTTATTTCGACCAAGTGGTGTGCAACTTTTTTTTTTCGCAGTATCTTTATTTCGACCAAGTGGTATTGTCCTTTTGAATGTTTGTTGCTTGTATACAACGAAATACCCTGATATTGCCGCCCCTAGGCGACTGGGACACAGGGATAGCTAAAAAGAGGCCTAGTTCGAACTTCGGAATCACTTACGAAAGACGCCTTTCGTCGTAGAATGGCCGTTATTTGTAACTAGAAACTGATACACTTTCCTGTTGCCTTGATATGATAATGAAAAGGGCATCTAAAAAGTGACGCTCATAAAGCTTGTCCTATTTGAAAAGCTTTAAAACCGAACAGTAATTTTTACTGCTATCGGTTTGTTGTATGTTACAGTACTCTCTCCTTGTAACTGCCCCCATCCTCAAAGAGATGGAAATGAACATTTTCGGCAATTCGATGTAACGAGCCTTCCTTCAAGGGGCACCTTGAAGGGAGTACTTTTGTTATCTAGCTTTTTGCTCTGTTTTTGTCAAAATGTTCAGCCATTCACGGGAATATTGTGGGCTCAAATTTCCCTTGAGATTGGTGTGCCACACACTGCCGATGATTTCAAGTGAGGATAGTGCTTAGTGTTTGTTGGCGTCTCAGCGTAGATGCCCTTGAATTCCAGGCTTAAATCTTTAGCTATTCTGTAACATTCTAAACTTCAGTCACTTGGTTGCCTCAGGACATCGTAGTCCCCTAGTATGTCAGCAGTTGTCAAATACCACGTACCTTCTTGTCTTGTTATAGCTTTTTCTTGAGCTTATTGGAGGAGGTTACGCCACAATTAGTCACTGTTGGTTGACGGTTTCTCTTGTCTTTTTTATCATATCGGTAGTTCACCACGTTTGTATGCTTTGTCTAACAGGTCGTTGGTGTACGGGTCGCACATGGTTCGGTCACCGTGCGGTTGTATCCGCAAGCCAGCAGCCACCCCATAGACCTGGCTCCGCTACGTAAGAAGTTGTCGGTAGGTTACCGTTTTTGAGGATATTCGCACTTTTTGATTTGCTGTTTTTTAGTTGTTAATTTTTCCCGGTACAATGTGGATGCCCAACTGCACAGTGTTATTAGGCACGATGGGGTACGACGCCTGTATCGAATTCAACAAGTGACGCATCAGCGTCGTCCTTCGGTTCTCATGAGCGAACTCCGTCTGAACCCGATAGGCGTCGTTCGCGCTGTTGGTGCTGAGCCGATGGTTATTTGAGTACATGTTTTCTGAGTCAGAATAACAGTTATGGCTAGCGACATACATGCATTTGCATGTAAATTTGATTTTTTTTTGGGAGACCCACCTTGAACCCAGCTGAATTTCTCGTTTGTGATGAGTAGTGTATTACGTCTAAACAGGTATGGATTCATTGACCCGCCTGACTCGTGGTCAATTACATAGAATTTGCCAAACAACTTGTTGATCGGCTGGTATACGGCTCACTTGAACCCACTGAATTTCTCGTTTGTGATGAGTAGTGTATTACGTCTAAACAGGTATGGATTCATTGACCCGCCTGACTCGTGGTCAATTACATAGAATTTGCCAAACAACTTGTTGATCGGCTGGTATACGGCTCATCAGGTTTGAAGTTGGTGAGTGAATGAACTGCTCAGTAGCGTAATAATCATGAGGCGTTCTAGTGGTGACAGGATCGTATTAGACACGTGGTGTGCCTTGTTAACTGCCTATTCCATCGGCCGAATCACCATTTACTACATTTCGTTTTCTCCCTTGGTGTTCTATCATTCTTTTTTTGTCCAGCCACAACACATTGATGTGTGTTTTTGAGTGTTAGCAAAACATGCTATGGGCGCTTTATTCTTCATTTGATTCCAGGAAACAAGAACTTCTTGTTACATGCCCACTTCGCAGTTAGCTGCTGCCATAGGTCTTCATCCGGCCGCTGTAGCTCGTCTCACGGGAACCGTCTTGGTAAGCACTATCAACAAAGACACGACTGACGATTCGCAAGCGGCCGCTGTTAAAAACACAGACCAGGTGGACAATGCTGCAGCAGCCAACGAAGTAAATTCATGTGACAATACATCTGCATCAAAGAAAATGAAGGACACCCAAGATCGCAAGTATTTGTGGAATATTGGTTTGAACCTCCGCCGTAACAAAACACGTGCACAGGTATTTTTCCTGTTGTTGTTTTCATCTCTATTTTTCAAACTGTCGTGTTAATTTTACTGCACCCTACGATCCAAAGGAAATTTGTGTTAAAAGGAAATCAACGCGTATTAAGTTTGGACTCCGGAAACAAGCAAAATATGCCGAACGTGGATGATATAAAAAAACGAGGAAAATAATTGAACCTAACGATCACGTTCAGGTTGTCCTCTCGGTTTCTTCGATGGTGTTTGACAATATCAATGCATTGCTCAAAAAATATTTCTGCCGGCTAGTGAATGATTGAATGTTCGGGTACTTATTTATTATGTACGTCTTAGTTCGCACAAACGAATTCGTAAACCACGTTGTTGAATCAACGTACGAATAGCCTCAGTGACAGCAATAACCTTCATGAGATCGTATTTATTTACTTTGCATGGCACATTTGCGAACGAGTTTAAGAACTTCCGGAACGGAACGGACCGAAAACAGAGAGCTCTGTTGGCAGTGTGAGGAGATTTGGGAATTTTAACGACGATTTTGTTCCGTAAGTGATGTCGGTCTATGCTGAAAAGTCTATACTGTGACGTCTCTCTTATTCTTGTTGGAAGTCGTCAACAGTGCGCATCTCTGGAACCCACTACCCCCCCCCCCCCCGATTTGTAGTTAAGCACTCGGCCACGACTGACCTCTCACAGAAAGGCTACAAAGCGCAGACGAAGAAACCAATTTGACTCAGCTTTGAGATACCTCGGTGGATAGTGTACGTAACAATACATGGTTTTTCTGTAATGTCACAAAATACTCCTCTTTGTTCTTTTAGAGAATTCATAAGTTAATACTGCAACTAATGAAGTATTACGAAATGGCATTTTGGTCACAGTGGCACAATCTCACCTTGTCGGACGAGGCGATTGTCGCTATCAATGTTACCGCGTGTTTCACGGTGAAAAGAACTGCTGTAGAAGGCCACTTGGAGTGATCCGTGATTGTTTACGAGGGCTTCCTTTTTAACCAAAAAGGATTGCATTCATATTCCTTCCCCTGCTACATAAATTTTCACGTCTTTTCTCTTAACCACCATCTGTGGTGTTTATCTTGTGTTGATTTCAGGTTTTAGGATGGTCTCGATTTTGTCCGGATCGTTCATCCTGGGTGTTCTCAAACTGTACGGCCGATTCTCTGTTGGCCTACTGTAATGAATTCCCCAAACTCTGGTCCCTGGTAGAAGCTCACAGTGAAAATACTCGCAGTGGAGGACCAATAATGTGTGATCTGCCCCGGTGAGTCTCACAGTCTTGCGCACTCTGAAGTTCCTGGTAAAGGGCACCAAACCTTGCTCACGCGCATCTCTCAGTTGCTCAACTGTTTCTCAGAAGTCGCATTTGGTTTGCGAACATTTCATCAACATTCAGGGGGAAGCCAACTGTGTATCATAAAGGATTTGTATCATCAGAGTTTTGCTTCTGGTCCCAACTTCTAGCTTGTTACGTACACACATGCGAGTACCAGTATAACGGGTTCCTTGGTTGGAAGAGACCCAGAGTCAAGGGTATTCCCGTGAACTGGAATAATATTTTGTGTATTGCGCCTTTGTACTCGACTGGATCACTCTAGTTCTGCTTCAGCGAACCATACACCTCGCTCATGTGATGTGTTTATCTTATCATCATTTTTCTTTCCAGCGGCGAGCTGGACGCAGCAGTGGAATTCCTTGAACAATCTGGATGTCGTTCCGCAGCTGTGGTCCCAGCCGACGGTAGCTATTTGGATTGCGATTTTATCAAACACATTCGGACCATCGTATATCCAGATGTAACTGACGGCGATGGCGAGACTGTCAGAGCTAGTCATGTCTATCAGCCACTAGACAGGAAAGCTTGGCAAAAGTCTCATGCCATACACTGTACGCCGGAAAGTTTGTTTGTGGTAAGTAGGGCGTAGCTTCTCAGCTCCTTTGTTCCCATGATTCAACACACCTTTATTGAACCATGGAATAACCCGACCTGTCACCTTCGTATCCCTTCTGGTACTGTTATTGTATGTGCTGTTGTTACATGCGATTTTTAGTTCACATCGGTTCACACATTAAGGTATTTCAATCTGGAGGGAGGACTTTATTCACTTTATTCACTTGGTAAAGAAAACAAACCTCGGAGTGGTTTATGCGGTCCCATACCAACTACGCGGACTGATTGTGTATAAGCTCCCTAGTATATTTCGGTTGACTCATAATCAGCGGGGATCATTTGTTTATTCTGTAATGTGCGATCCCTCAGTAACTCTGGAGTTTGGCTCAATCGGATACTAGTTGGTGCATTATTGTTTTCAGTGTTTTTTTTCATTGCCACAACAGACGTTGAGCGATTTTAATCATCATCATCATCATCGACAACATGACACCAGTGTTCAAAAGCGATGCTTCACTGAACGAAGAAGTTCAGGAGGCGGGTTTGATGCTCCGGTCCACTGCCCCCACCCAATACAATAAGACGATTCGTTCGGTCTTGGGAAGGCATAATTTGTTATGTGCTATCCTGAATTCTGATAATTATGTGCATTTTTCATACCTCTGCTATATAGTTTGGTGAACTTTTCTTTCATCTGTTCTGTCTGAAAGAAGTGCTCCTCTGTAGGGGTTCCAAGTACTCCGTTAGTACTCGTAGGTTTTCCGTGGCACTGAATGCAGTAGCTGCTCTTCGGGGCAAGAAAACTTCGTGTGTACAGCACTTTTCCGGAAATATTTATGTACATCGTAAGTGATCGATGTTCAGCAAATAAGCTTCATGTTAACGGCACGGAGCAGGTCAGCAACTGAGGCCCCGTAGCCCAATAGATGGTGTTTTCGACGTGAACGGGTTTGTACACAGTACTGGCGTCACTACCCACGATGATGCTTCGTTCCGTTCAATATAGTGTGTTCACCGGTTTCCGTCTGTTCGGTAACTGTTGTTGCCCACTGTTCTGTTTCGATTGCCACCTGGTAACCAAAACACTACTTCCCGTTTTCCCTCAGCCTGTGAATGGTTCTCGTAGTCTTTATCCGTCAAGCGATGGAGCCTCACATAAATTTTCAATGAATAATTTCTGCCTTTTGGATCGTGTGACGTTCTGCAAACATGGTCAAACGGTTCCCATAGGACTGTGTGGTACGGTTATTGGTGTCAGCCCCAGTGAGTCCTTGTTTGTCATTCTACCTTGTGGTGTTCCGATCGCCTTTTTTTGAAGCCGGTTGTGTCGTTGGTGGTGGTGTATTCTGTGGCACAATTTCGTTGCCTGAGAGTCTCTATTCGTGTTTTTTAATCTTGGATGTTTTTTCTGGCTGGTCCTAGCAGTCCCGAAATGCCAACACACGAACGAACACGTATTTTGGATAAGCTCAGTTGTTTCACATGAACGACCACCACCTGGGCGGTGAGGTTTTCAAAAGTGGACAACTATACTTGTTTCAGTCTGATGGAAGCATCCCCAGTAGAATTTCGTGGAATGTAGTCTCTCCTAGACGATTAATAGCTGCAACGTTTTCACAGCTGAACACTCTTACTGTCACATGACTTCCCTTGCTGCTAACCGGTCTACCTATATAAGAGTTGTGATCCACAACGATAGGTACATGCGCTCATGATAGCCATGGACCCCGTAAGCTCAGTGAGAATCTACACCGTCCTTCCGTTCCCACTGCTGCACAGCGAGAACGCCTGTTGAATTTTATTGAAAGCCCATTTTTTCCTCGAAGGTCCATAACACTTAGGCATGCGTTTGAGTGCGAGTTCTGTGTTACCTAAACAAACTATTCACAAGTTAATGTTCCACATGGACCCCTTCCTCCACCTTGACTTCAAAATATGCTGGGGTGTTTTTCACCTTTCACTTGTCAGTCGTATTCTGTGATATGACTGGTGACATCAAGCGAATCAGTTAGGTCGCTCAACAGTGAACATCATCTCTTTTGCCGTGACAATTCAGTTGATCCCAGTTTGTGCTGGTGGAATAGCGGTAATGTGCTCGCTTCACGCGTTCAAAGAAGGCTGTGGACGCCTGAGGACACTTTCGGTCTGGGTCACAAAGTCGAAGCACCTCGTCTCGTTTTTAACCTAACAGTGGAACGCCGAATTCCAGACACTTTTATCTTTCTGAATTCAAGTGTTAACCGTTTTGTACTAATTATCCGTCACTAACAGCTTGAACTCCATGAACTCCTCAAAATTCCTGAGAAATTGATCACTCTGTAGCAGGAGGCCAAGTAATTGGACAAATTTTTACTCAGCCAAACACTGGCTCTTACACGCAATCGTTTATATTACCCTCCGGACTCTGAAGCATAATCTTCCGTTCGCTGCACGTGTTTACTCGATGAACCGGTAACTTGGAGGGAAGAGTGCAATAGACGATTCCGCGCGTATATGCAGTCCTTCCAGGCTAGTCATTCATATGCTGGGTTTTCACCTTTCACTTGTCAGTCGTATTCTGTGATATGACTGGTGACATCAAGCGAATCAGTTAGGTCGCTCAACAGTGAACATCATCTCTTTTGCCGTGACAATTCAGTTGACCCCAGTTTGTGCTGGTGGAATAGCGGTAATGTGCTCGCTTCACGCGTTCAAAGAAGGCTGTGGACGCCTGAGGACACTTTCGGTCTGGGTCACAAAGTCGAAGCACCTCGTCTCGTTTTTAACCTAACAGTGGAACGCCGAATTCCAGACACTTTTATCTTTCTGAATTCAAGTGTTAACCGTTTTGTACTAATTATCCGTCACTAACAGCTTGAACTCCATGAACTCCTCAAAATTCCTGAGAAATTGGTCAGTCTGTAGCAGGAGGCCAAGTAATTGGACAAATTTTTACTCAGCCAAACACTGGCTCTTACACGCAATCGTTTATATTACCCTCCGGACTCTGAAGCATAATTTTCCGTTCGCTGCACGTGTTTACTCGATGAACCGGTAACTTGGAGGGAAGAGTGCAATAGACGATTCCGCGCGTATATGCAGTCCTTCCAGGCTAGTCATTCTTCTTCATACCTTCATGGAAATTTCTGTGTTTCGGCCAGATGTTACGCACCTTCATGGCCGACTCTTGTCGGCTGGTTGTGAGCTACTTGACGCATTGCCGTTATTTCGCGTTTCCGAGGCACCTTTCCAGGCACCCGTGCCCCACCCCTCCGATTTCTCTTCTACCATTATGCATCTGTGGTGTGCTAGTTTTTGTCACACGTTTCTCATAGGAACTTAAAACAACAGTGATATCGTTAAAATTGGATGGCGAAAATATTTGTAAGCTCAACAAGGGGATTCTGCTTGGGTACACAGATCCGAATACATTTTTTGGATTGAGAGTAGAATCAGGTGTTCGACCGCATTTTCCAGCATCAGGCGTAAATAAATTGATGTTCGGTCGCAAACTCGCTGGTGCGCGGTTAGTTTGTTCGTTGGACCACTAACTAGCTACCTGATTGCTATTGTTTTATTTCCGAAGGCTCTACCTTCGACAGGCTTCCTTGTTGTAGACCTTGCAGCGTTGTACACATCACCGGCGCCGATGACACTGCCGATGCGTTTTCTAGACTTTTCGCTCACTGGTCCTGTTAGGTCAACATGACTATCTGAGTGTTTCGCACTTGTGGAGCTAACTGAATGGTCTGTGAACGAAGAGTGCCAGAAAAGTGACCGACTGGCCACAGGAAAGCTTGGTGTAAGACATAACCAACCAGCAGCGACGATCTGTACTTTCAATTTATGTTGGCATATCAAGCGCGATATCAAACTATTTACTCGCTGCACAGTGTAGAACGCTCTATTCTCGATGCTATGAAACCAAGCAATCGTGGATTCTGCAATACGTAAAGGACAGTAACAATTGAGTTGTGCATCGCCACTAATTGCATGTCCATAAGGTTGCAAATATTTTCCAGGATACGGCTGTGCTTGCACGTTACCAGTAAGCCTGATTAACGTACTCCGAACCGTTCCCAGTTGTATGCAACTTTTTTCTAAGGCTTCTTCCATACTTGGCCACGGAATGCAGATCACGAAGTAATATATCATTCCGAAAGTCCACACTGTAAACGGTGTGTGACCGACTTTTTGGGCCGCAAACTTATCAAGCTGCTCAAAATTACCATGTCGGTTTTCGCCAAAACTGCGATTTAATTAAATCAATGTATCTCACGATATGGTGCGATATAGTCTGCCCCCTCTGCGTGACCCTCTACCTAGCCCTCTACCTACAGCTTTTCCGCGGTATGCCGAATGCACAAACATTCAATCCCAGGGTATATATATATGTGTACTTTTGTGAAGGTTTTTAGGGGAACAAGTAAACGCATCAAAAAAGCCGTTGTCTTGTCGTATCCCTAAGCATCCACATCGGTCTTACTTTTTTTATTTTCATTGTTAATCTTTTGTTGTGATTCTCAGTCTTGATTTATTACAACCCGTTCAGATGGCCTCTTTCAAACCGTTGAAGTGATGTTCGATAAAGAGTTTCCGGGTGCAGTTGATATCAGGTAAGTTGACCTGACCCTGATATTTCACGCAATACCCTTCTCAGTCCTTCGGTACGCATGGTCTCCTCACTTCCGCCCCATTACTCAACCAATCTTTGTTCAGTAGCTGGGAACTGCAGATGGACTACTCTGGTTCGTCTACATCTAACTAATGAGCCCATTTGATGACCAATTAGGTCAGACCACTTTACAAAGATTGCTTCGGACAAGGTCCTGTCGACTCATGTTACAATCACCAAGGCCACTGCTGGCGATTGTCCTCAATTGCCCCTTTATACTGTACACTTTGCAGCACGATGATGCGCAATCGAAACGCTGTTATCTCCCATTGGTCTCGATTCTTCAAGCTGAATCGCACCAAGTTTGGCGCACACTCACCCCTTGAGGAAACACATGGAACAAAAATATTTCGATGGACTTTCTTCGTGGGTAGAGCATCAAACTATAGTGAAATTTAAAAAAGTCTTGGACAATCGCTCCCTCCGAACTACTGCGTAGTTAACCGTTGTGATTATTTTTTGTTAGTAGCTGGAAATTGTCGCCAGTAGTGAGATCTGATTTGGATTGAACGCCTAAATTTTTTTAGCGGGCTCGTGAACCACTTTCCTGGTACGCAAGTAAAGGCAAACAAAAGCTTGACTCGTAAAGTGTACATCACCTGCGTTGACTAAATTCAGCCCCGCCAAATCGGGCTCGGGCAAGGACAACTTCTAACTGCTCGGTTTGTCCCCGTTTCACCTACAAACTTTCGACCGAATGAGTGGTAAACAGCAATTACATGTTTCAACCGAAAAGTGCCAATTACCCTAACCCTTCACCTTACTAGCTCTGTTCGAACTCTACCTGATTTGCATCCACGCGTTGGAAATCACTTGCTTACTGACCAAACCACATAAAGTGTCGATCGCACACACCAACATCACCCGTTCGTGGAATTATCTAAAGCTGTGGACGCCACAACTTTTGGTATTTTCTCAAAGGTTTCTAGGCAGTTTTTGTTTGAGTTTGTTTTGGAATTTTTCGCTTCATCGAAACTGGCTAATTCTGTTTTACGATAATTTTACACACTGGTGGTGGATTTTAGCCATGTGGGACAATGCGGACGTATAATTATCGTAACGTGTGAACCAAAATTATATCATCATCATCATCATTATCAGCTGTAATAACCAAAATTATATAGGTTGCCGCGAAAATGTGTGCTAATCTAACAACAGAAATAGTGGCAACTATTGACAACTCGAGTTATTGGCTCCTGCATTCTAGCTTCATTATCTTCGACCTTTATTTGTAGCTCTGGCGTTTTCTGGTAAATGTTACTGCCATTCCCAGTGAGGTCCAACCTAATTCGCTTGGATAGTGTGTCAGTTGGGTCTTGATATTCCACTCAAATCTGGGTCAGTGGCATAGGACATTTCCACTGATGGATTAAATATACTTTCACAGTGACCAGAAAACTTATCCTGTTCTTTTCTCAAAGAGGAGGTTTTCTCTTCGAGTGAGCGTTGTAGCGGAAAAATCTCAGGTCTTTATTAGAAGATGAAGTACCATATATACCGCCATTTTTGTTCGAAAAGTTGTCTCACATTTCGACTGAGAAGTTGTGGCAGTCCTTTCCGTTAGACAAAAAAATCTGTGCATCAATTTTAGACTGTTGGTGGTAGACGGCTGAAACTGACATCTGGGGAGGTTCCACCAATTAACCGATAGGAGCCGCTCCTTGCCCCGAAATGAGGTTCCAGGTCCTTCTTCAGGAACACGATATGTGTTGATGATCGGTTGTTTGAGAACATTTCCAACGCTATTTTTTGTGTCCCTTTTGCATTTCTGCGGAAGATTCCGTGACATTATGGCCCGTCCTTTTCGTTATTTCACGGCTATTTGCTGCAAATGATCTTGAATTTATTGGTGTTGAGCGTTTGAGCTCCAAGCAGAACAACTAATTAGCTGCGCTTCGGTAAAAAAAATACCGTTGGGTTACTGTGCTTTCTATACTGTATTCATCACCTTTAGTCTGGACAGCATGTCCCTCTAACGCACAAATAAAGCTGTGTCGGTCCCGTTGGAAATCATCGGCATCTCCAGTTTTACAAGTTCCAAACACTAGATCAGTTTGATGATTGCAAAGGGGACCATCCAGTTGCGAGTGATATCATTCTTTCCTCCCAAGACGCCAGATGCACTGTTGTTAGTATATCAATACCGTCATTATTTGCTCTTTTTATATCGTCCCACTTTCGGTTACACCCGATTCGGATTATCGCTTTCTCGAAATATGTTCTGCAACAACTGTAGCCCCGCATCCGATGCATCCGGGGTACAAGGCTTCCAAGCCTCGTACTGTCTTTTTGATGTCTCTGGTTTGTCGATACCTCACGCCTAAACGACCAGGAATCCGAATGTTTCACAACGTAGGGGAACGACTCTCAGGTTACCTGAATACTGAGCCATTTTTGGTTCTCTTTGTAAAGCACGTGGTTATTCCTCAAACCCGTGGATTGGTTCCATTGTTATCTCGCCCCCGAAGTTCTACTATGCCCAATCTCACCACTGTCCACGTTTCCCCCTTAGTTGCGTCCATGTATTTTATAATTATGGATTTATCCATACTAGACTGTTAATAGAAAACCACACAGTTTACGTTCACGCGTGGTTCACAGCAATGGAAAGGTTAACTTCAAGTATCCAGACGGACATACCAACTGCAAGACATTTCGTAAAATTCAAGTCTGTTCAGTTTGAATGAACTGTACAGTAATTTTCCATCATAATAACACTACCGAACGCACCATAAAAATTGTTAAATTCAACAGAATTTCCAAGTTCAATCGTGTAAATTTGATAATGCGGTATTAATCGGTGATAGCGACATTATGATTATACCAAACTACATATGCCAGAATATGCTGCCACTTGTCGGTTGGCTGAAATATTGGCTTTTCCGGTGTGAGATTTCATGGAACCCGAGATTAAGGCAGTAATCCAGTCGGTAGAAGTAGGTTGTGCATCCGTCCTTCCTAGCTCAATGGAATTGCATATTAAATTGCTCCTTGGTGAAATGCATTCATTTACATGTCAACCTCAGGCTCGATTGAATCTGTTGCTCGTGGTATTCTTCGAATGAATGTGTCACACAAAGGGAACTGCATCTATCTGATGACCTCTTATAGGGGCGATACCAGTGATGTTCTGTCAAAGACTTCTCAGCAACCTTATGTGTAGTGTGCTGTGTAAAGAAATTGTTGCCTCTTGAAGTATGCATTCAAACAGCTCAACCAGGTTGTAAACTTATTGCCAACTAACTAATGTCGCCTGGAATCTTAGGACCTTACTGAGGTAAATCTAGCATCCTGATCTACATCATGGACAATGTTAATGGTTGGATTTTTGCATCCGCGGATACATTCATGCGTTCCAGAACAGTCAACGGACAAAAACGCTGAGGCTGGTTTTCTCATTCCAGGAGAGTAGACATTTCTACGTTATCTGTCAATCTATTTAGGCCATAACTCAGGTAAAACGCACAACAATGCCAAGGATGTCAAATATCTCACTGCATGAAGTTGTCGCTACCGTCACGAAGAGACTGAACCTTACCGTAGTGTGACGGTTTGCGCACCTCAGCGATCCATTGAGCTATACTGGAGAATGTCCCCACGACACTCACAGAAGTCTGACGAACACAGTCTCCTGGTCCCCTAGATTGGGGAGTGGGAACACGTGGCAGCTTGTTCCGTAGAAATGGTTACGTGTTTGCATTTCCCGCCAAGCACTGCTACCTTTTGAGCCAAAGGCTTTGGTTGAGGACCCCAATCGTCTTCCTGCCTAAGTATGGGCGACCTGAAAGTATCACAGCTCTCGTACAACCATGATACGCCGGTCAAACATCGGTGCTGAACACTGATGTCATGCTGTCGGTGATGATGATTAAATTTGTCGCTGAACAGTTAAGTTGACAAATTAACGTGCATATTGTAAGTAGTAGGACAAAGTGGGGTTCCGCACATACCGGGGGTTCATAGATTGGCGGCTTAAAGAATCCCGTGTCCAGACTCAACATCAGACCCTAAAATAGCTGAAGAATTCTGTCGAATAGCAAATTAACAGAGTAGCGAGTCCACATAGTAGCGGGTTTGCTAGATGCCGGCAACTGGTATCCAGTCACCGGAATATTAACAAAATGAGTCACGCCACAAAAAAGCTTGGCTGCCACTGTCAGTCAGATCTACTCGTCTGAGTTGCAACCACTTTACCCGATTCATCTGTTTCCGATAATTTTGTCCGGCGCCCTTCTTGTTATATTTTCCCTTCCAATTATCCAACCTTCTTACTCTTTTTCCTGCCAGGGGTTCTGGGCCATGTTGTGCGGTACTCGCATCCACAAGTCTTCTCAAGGTGGTTCAAGAACAAATTCCTCCGAAACCTAAACTTCAGTCCAACTCTGGATGTACACCGACACCTACGAATGCGAACAACAATAACCCCACTGGCCGTTTTTCCAGATCCTTTGTTACTCAACCAAATCGTGCTAACTTGGATCCTCCGCAACAGTCCAAACCTTGGCCGAAACCGAAGAGTCGGAAACGGCACTCGAGCAAGACACCGTCAGCGAACACACCTGCAGCGGACTTTGAACCAACATCACAGGTACGCTCTTGGCAGTGTGTATTTTCGTCAGAGTTCCACATTTGTTGGTGTGTCGCCTGACAACCGAATGTTTCGTTTTTATTTTCAGAATCATATGACAACTGACTTCAAAGCGGAAATTGAAGGTAAATCAGGTGTTTATCTTTTGATAGCCCTGAAACCTTTTTTCTCGTTTCGCTTTTATCTCATTTTCAAGAGCTCCTGTAGTATTATCGAACGCTAATTTGTAGCATGTGGGTATACCACCGACACTGTTAGAATAATGTAATATACACTGAAAGACCAAAGACTCACTCTCCCCCGTGTTCCTCTCTGAAAAAAATCGTTCAGCTGTAGCACCCTTTCGGTGCCTAGCTGCCATGCCACACGAAAGAGGCACGAGGGCTGGGATACTGTCAGGCCACCCAAGCCTAGACGGGGGAAGTGGAGAGGCAGAGGTCGGGTTCGAACCACGGACCTTGCGGTAAGTAAATTCGCGCTCTAACCACTTGGTCCATCTCTCCATTGTGACCTGGTAAACGCACTGGGGAATGTCACTTTTATCGCCGTGATTGCAGAACACTCGTGTTCACCTTTCGAGTCACGTGCGTACCAAATTAATTCCACCAACGTATTCAGGTTCCTCTAAACTCTTCGTCGTAACTAGAGGTACGCACGTACATATGGACCACTCTCGCGTGGACCTTTAGCTTCTATCTTATGTGATCTCATTTAGGCCTGCTTCTACCCTGTCCTACCAGTCATGTTCTTCTTAGTGGCGGCTATGCACGCCGTGTCATACCGGTCACCGAGTGGTTAGAAACCCGCCGAAAACTACTCTCCATTTTCTAATTCGTTTTCTGTTTACTTGAGTCTTGGATTTTGATCACAAGGACCAAGCTTGATCACACTGATCAACCGTAGTCCAGCTATAGGAGTAGTGTTCTGTCCCATATCCCGAAAGTGAGTCGGAGGTAATTGTAAAAATGACAAAAATCCTAGGACAGACCCCTGTGTTGCCGATGTCAATCCGACTTTGGGAGGTAAAAGCATCACCCGCTAAGACCTAGACTGGTTTGGTAGATTTTCTGGGAACTTAGAAGATTACTTCTCAATCAGTGGGAAAAAGTTTGAAACCGATTGAGAAATCGCCGTTCAAAAAAGGCTTGGTAAGCAATCCATGTGGAAATAATCAGTTGATGACTAATATTTTAATGCCCAGTGTATTGGGTCAAACAGAGCAACCCTACTGTGGCGAAAAGTGCGTTTTCCTGAACAGTTTCACCACACTGGATGGCCATTTAATCTATCAGTTTTTCTAGCTAGTGGCCATCAATACCAGAATTTTCAGAATCTTATGACTTCGGCACGAGAAAACCATTCCACTGCAAACCACGTGCCGAAACTGATTCTGCGGGAACTTCAATAACTTGTGATCAGTCAGTGAATGTTACCAAATAGCGTTCTGCGATAGCTAACAGCCTTTACGCCCATTTTCACTTCCGACTCACGTTACTGTACTCTCACCAGCAATCATGGTGTCAAAGTGCCTAAAGTTCACCCTAATTTGTTCTTTAGCTACTTTCAGTCAATGTGGATATTTCCTCTTGTCTTTCTTGTTCCAGAACTAAATGCCTTGTTGTTTGCCCATAAGATTCACGGACTGACTGCAGATGCGCCCGCTCTGTGTACTGAAAACATCCCTTCCAGCTGGGTAGAGGACACCCCAGCCTACAGCTACGACGATATGAACAAATCAGAAACTGGATTCCGGCGGTCCTCTGTTAACTGCCTACCTAGTCCACCAGAATTGCCCTTGCCACCGGATTCGTGGGCTACGGATGCCTCTGAGTTACAGTTGCAGGTAGATGAATTGTTCCCAACGGTTGCACCGTCTACATCAGAAATTGATCCAACAGACAAAGTGGGCAAGAAAAAGAAAAAGAAGTCTGGTATCACATCCCAACAGAAGAAGCCCTTGCAAAAGCAGTTCTGTTCGACTGAAAATCTGAGTAGATATGACCGTGCCTCACCATATCCACCGCCGCCAGTAGCTGTCCAAGATCCAAACGGATTCGAGTCGTTTTGTGGACAGCCAGTCTTCCCAGCTACTCCTGTTGGCTTGTTTCATCCTCAGGGTTACCCTTTGCGACCTACTCAATGGCAACCAGATCCATCTGGTTGGGCGCAACCTTGTTTTGGCTCTGGATTCGACCCGAGACAACAACTGTCATTTGTTGCGCCTCGTCCGTGTGGGAACCCTCCTTACATACCACAGCGCCCCGCTGCGGATTATCTCTCATATGGCGAGCGAGCTGGGACACGTGTACCCTGTGGTCCTCGTGCCATCCCTACCTGGTCCTATCCGAGACAACCTCATCCCTCGGGTTATTTCGGTCCTGGGCCTCCACCACAGCATCTGGAGAATGGAGTCCCTCTCCAACACCAGTACTATCGTGATTACTACGGCGACGCTTATATGTACCGTCCACTTTACACAAAGTTAGTCTCCTTGCGTGGTCTCTGATTTGATATTCATATTTCAATCACAATTGCTGTTTTCACTCTGATTTTAATCTGATTGCATCATACGGCAGGGCCATTAATCCACACATATTAAGCCCTACTCCACGTAAACTGTTTGGCTCTATAATTGCAATGTGGCCTTGGGAGACGAAATTTACCGATACACTCATCACATGGTAACAAGCCCCATCAGTAACTCTGGATAGGCCCATTAATTTAACTCTCGTGCATTAATCCGGCATCTAACCCAGTATATCAAGCTCTTCCTCATTCTCAATCACTTTCGGTCAGCTAACGCTTGACAGAGACGGTATCAACAACTATCGGCAAACTCATTCAGTAGATCGGCAGTTTATTGTACGACAAATCCGACAAGTCGATTGCTGTACGAAGTTATCTCGAAAGCTGTTTCGCATATCCACAGGAAACTTCACTTTTCTCGTTCATCACTCTCAATTTTGCAGATGAAGTGTTGCGTTGAGCCTTGAAAAAATCACACCCTACTATCACCTGTAACTGTCCTACTTGACTTCATGTAAATGAATGCGGATAGCAACCGTAGTTTTCCTACGTCATTACATCTTTGATGCTGTTCCCTAGTTACGACGCTACTTCATTAGTACAGCCTTTCCCAGTTGTAAGTGATGGCCCAAAGCCGTCCAGAAACTACTATGAAGGCGTTTCGGAAATAATTTAAGGTGTACTGAAGTGACCCCGATGGCAGTTTCATCGCAATACATTACACCTCCTGGCGAATCCGAACCACTCGCTTCATCATCGGAACCCACAGTGGGCACACTGAAAAGATGCACATACATGCATCTCTTATGTTCTAATGCATGTGTGAATCAAATCGCCCTCTTGAAGCTCGTGGGTGCGTCAGGTTGGCCGGAAACTGGCTCCCACTGATCAGCACACTCGTGCCAGCAGGGTGTAGTAACGCTACACATTCTGAAACATTTACGTCACACCGAAGGGGCAAACGCGATGAGTCAAACAGTGCCGCTTACCACAGATGAATCAACACGAAAAGTGGATCGATGGGCTTTTCGGTGGTCGGCCAGAAGAACCCGGAGCGAACGAATAGTTTGGTTTGGCAGCCCACTCGGCAACGATGAATCCACCTACTTGACTTGTTCGAGCTGAAAATTCACCATTTTGTCTCTGGTCCTTTTGAGAGGGATGTGACTTTCACACCGTTCCAATTTAGCTTGATTTTCCAAATAGTGTAATGTACGTTAAATTTACGCTTTCTGTGGTGGTATCGCATCGTTACGCTTAACTTCTGAATGCTCGCTGATTCAAATAGGAGGACTGAAAGTATCAAAAGTTCCCTTTCATACGTCCATAACGTACGTGCGGAATTTTATCCTAATCGGATGTGGTCTGCGGTTACAAGCGTGCACCGAAAAGAAGCACTAATACGACTAACGATGGTCAAATCTGACATCATTTCAGGCACCGTATCTACCAGTTTCCAGTTTTTTTAACGCATGTGATTCGTCCATCTACTTTCTTCTGGTCAGTCGGACGTACACCGAGTGGCGAGTAAGCCATAGAATGGGCGCGATACCAGATTTCCCTTGTCATATGAGATATGGAATAAATAGGGTGCTGATTCTGTATATAGCCATTCGTTGTCATAACTCGCCATTTCAACTTATCATGTATCACACAACCATTCTCCTAGTTCTCCTCTAAAACTGTATGCACTTGGCGTGCCTAAGTTCCCATAATCGTCAATTGTTCGCAATAGTCTGTCCAATCCTTCTCTTATGTGTGTAACTTCCGGTTCCCTGTATCTTCTAAATATATGGGCATAGTTTGTTATGCCTATCGCTACATTAAATCATCCAAACAAGAGGGTCCTTGAATCATTTCCCCAAAATCTGCTACTTGAGGTGTGAAAGTTCTGCCTTGACTTTTACACCCTTGCGATTCAAAATAAGCACATTTCTAGTCACTTTCCATCACCTAAACGGCGTCTGATTGTTGCGCACAATGCACTTAACGACGAATCAATGACACCCTTTATCCGTTGCACTCCTGGAGCATGTGATCCCAGTCCCATTGCTGAAAGCTGGTGATCATTGTCGCACGGCTTATTGAAATGCCGGTCAGTTTCAACCCAACGGTCATTTTGCAAATAAACATATTTGTCCCTTGCGCGAAATAAGAGTTACGCAGTGTGAACATCAATAAGAGAACCGCAGTATTTTGATTTGCCTCCTTCCTGAGTCATATTTATACGGTCATTTAGTAAGGTAATTTATGAGTGGATAGCCAGTAGCAGTGCATCAGGCTTTACCGTCTGGGGAGCTGTTCAAAATATCTCCCGAAATTGTTGCACAGAATATTTCTTGTTGGTCAAAGTTTTTGTTTGTAAGAGCGTCCATATCAATATCCTATTCGGTAGTTAATTAACCAGAACCCGGCTTGGTTGACTGACGCTGAATCTGCGACCTGTTTGGAAAATAGTCTACCCAGTTTGATGTTAGTAGGCCACCGGTTCTAACCTTTCGTCCTTGATCAAACGGACCGTGGCCTACTTGTACGCCGTTTGGAGACCTGTGATAACAGCGATTATTTATCAACGGAACTTGGTTACTTCGCTCATCTGCTCTCAGAACCCGAGCTTACACCATCGACAAGCTACATCCAACCCTGGCTCCACTGTGCCTCGGCTGGACGATGTACCGTTTCTGAGGAACAGACCGCAGTCAACCAGCTCATTGATATTCCAAACCTGAGGGCCCATTTCAGTGTCAGATCACACGTATCGGAATTGTTACGCAAGATTGTCACAAACGGTCGAACTACTTCATGCACCAACTCTGCGCAGAGATGATTCGTATATTCCTCTTCTGTGTTTCCAACTGCACGGTGAATTTGGAACCTTTATGTAGGAGTTCTCACTTATGTTCATATCCAAAGGTATCTACTCATAGGGGGATATACATCCTGTAAGAAATATCACAGGTAGGTAGAACAACGCTGTGTAGTCGATAGTGGGCACCGTTGGGATACTTTTGACCTAAGGGTACTTACTACTAGGTGTAAGTTTAATGTAGGGAGTATCGAAATAGCAGTTTTCCTTTTTTTCGAAATGGACCGATACCCATCAATCTGCTGGGCGAATTTCACCCCTAATCGTTAGTCCCGGACACGTTTGTGCTTACATATCCGATTACTTAAGTAGTATCTACATTCTATTTAACTTCACTTACATGATTTCCCCTCGTAACTCTTCGTTCCAGTCCCTGTCTCGCACCACCCGCCCCTTGTCCTCCAGAACGTCCTCGTTTTTTTCCTGCACGACCTTCAAACTTCTCAGGACGAGCTTCACAACCGACATTTAAAACTCCAGAACCAGCATCCGGTTCTGCTGGTCCAAGAGCGGCGGACGCGAAGAAAATGTTTATGCCCCCGCAGGTAATAATCCATTAGTATCCGTTTTCTCGGCACGAATCATTCTCTCCTTGTTTGTCCTCACGGTTACTATTGCAACGATGCCTTCAGACTCGTATACTCAATGCGAATTCAAAAGTGAACACTATCGTAAATGCATATCGTGTGCTGTAGCAGCAGAACCCAATTCGGTGAAGTCCAGAATGAAGTAATAGAGGTTGTCTGCTCAAAGCACGAATTCATCGATGATCTTCGCTCGACCTGCCCGGTGTTTTTTGGGATGCATTCTAACTAGTACAGTTATTTCCCCCTGAGGAAGCCACTGTGACTTGCCCCTTGAGGCTTCTTGGATTATATATTTGTGAAACATAACTAGCCTCAGCTTTTCAGGAGTGTTTCATGCAATACGATGCAATGTACAGTTAGATTGACTCAGCAGAACACAACGGCGCTTAAGTTTTCAACCCACTACAAGCATGCACCCCATAGATGCGATATGTAAAGCACACCCTACAGCCACTCGTAGCCGAGTTTACCCGAAATAAAAGTGTTAGAGCAGCTACGCCAGGTCTCCCTCTAGATGCTTCCGGTACATGGTCAAACAGTATTGATTTATCGTGAAGTTCTTGGCAGCACAATTTTCTGGGAAGTGCCGGGATGCATCGTTGTACCGGAGACTCCCTTGGGTCTAAAATCCTGTCAGCTATCCTTTGTAATTATTGTTGAACATTAGCATTCTTCCAAGCTATCGCTTCAGTTGGAGCATGACGGTTTGGGTTCCTCGCCGTAATTGTTGGCTAAGGTCTATGCTCTACCTCCCTATACTACTCGGGACTGAACCCAACGTTTGCCTTCAGAAGGCAATTCCTTATAATGAATCAGTCCGCAGAAAATGGGCTTGCTGCAGTAGATTTCATCAGATCCATAGAAAAGCCTGTTCTCCTGAAGTATGTTTCAGATTCCAGCTGATACACCGCATTGGCTTTTCTGTATATTGTACATTGTAGCCGAAGTTTCTAACTCACTAGCTCCTTGTTCCAATTTACGCGTTCACCGTGACCAACCCCTATGAGACTTACACAATCTATGCTTTTTCGATCGTCTAGGTTAAGCGGTCTCTTCCAGTAAGTTCACACTCTCACTCTGGCTGTCCTCTAACGAAGCGCTACTCTCTTTTTGATCAACTTTTTGACCAACTTGGGCCTTGAATTACCACCCGTCTTAGCAAAGGTATCAGTTGCCATGCTTGCCACTAACCCTCATCGTTGTTTGTATTTCCTCATTTCTAACGGAACTCCTAAAAACATGCGACAACTTCTCATGCATTTGGTTTCCGTGTTCTAAGATTGCTTTGCTTGTATGCTTCACTACGAGTACTTACGACCTTGTCGTGCCACTCAGGTTACAATGCAGTTTCTAGTTATGCCGTCAAACCGCACCTTATCGTTTATGTTCTGCCAGAGCTAACCACCAAACAATGGAAAGCGAAATGCAGTCTGCTGCATTCCTGAGCGTGAAAGACATGTTTTTCGATCCTGTGTGTACGTTTCTTACCTACTCCTGAACTTAGTCGGTCGTTGAATGCACTGTCAGCATATCAGTCATAGAGAGTGAAACGAAAACTGGTCAATATCCTGTGGTTCATTTGAGGCGTAGGACTCCCGTGTTCAACCCCCCTCCAACGTTTGGGGGCTTCTGTCTCGTATAGTCGTGTATGCCGATAGGTTGTTCAGTTAAGATTCCCAACCGGACGAAAGTAACCTAAGTTCTTCGCACCTGGCTGTTTCTCCATGTATGGACTATCAGGGTAATTGCGTTGCATCTATCGTAAAAATTGAACCCAAGGATTAAATGACCAGGCAAAATTGCCCTGCAATCAACTTTGAGAGGGTGGATCACACTCGCCTGGCAGATTGCAGTAGTGCACAACACTTTAGAGTAGAACAGTGCTCTTCGCGTGTCAGTGTAGTTTTACTAGCGTGACAACAATCAGTCAGAAGAGAGATCAGGGTAACTCAGGGGTCAAGGTCCAAACCTCCTGGCAGAAAAGGTCTGTAGTTCGAATCCAACCTCGATATCTCAACTAATCCTGTCTAGGCTTCGACGAACTAGCAGTACCTCACCGTTTGTGCCTCCTTTAGGCGACATGGCAGCCATACACTGAAAGTGTTACAGCTGAACAGCTATTTATTATTTGTTATTCAGAACGCACGTATCAATCTACATTCAAGTACTTTAGCGCTGTTGAACTTTTGTTTCAATATCTCCAGTAGTGTAAGTCTCCACTGACCAGAATTTGGCGTTCAGATAGTTTGCTGAGACAAAGCGCTCAGCTACCTCAATCTGACTCGTTTGTGTAGCCATTCGTCGTTCTGTCGATCTCCTTTGAACGACTTGACTTGGTGTGTGATTTTCATAAGTGAACTTTGTTTTCGTCGCTTTCGATACTACTTATTGAATTCTTTGGAGAGAACATAACTATACATGCTTTACATTGACTGTTTGCTGCGAAATGGAACCTACGTGACGCCTTTATGGGTTGAGCGGTCGGTTGTTACTGGATTCATTGTTATCACTCATTCGCTGAATGACACGCATCGGCCATCTGCAGTCAGAGGCGCACATGTCCTCCATATGTTGCTAGGCCACAAATCTAACGATCTTTTTCCAATGTACTCTGGGACAGTGACTTCTCGACCTGCTCGAAAATGTCTTCCGACGGATGCTGATTACGCCGCTGAGTGGCTGAGAGTGGGGATTTTTCATGACCTGATAAATTGTGGACCTGAACTATTGCAGCAAGGCTGCCAGTCACACAATTGAGCTGTTATCCAGTCCCTCAGCTCACCACTACTCCTAATTCTTAATTTGGCGCGAACACCGGATGAACAACTGTTCAACTCACGCCCGAAGGCACACCTCAGTATTCACTGCAATAAACGCAACACATTTGACAGCTTGCCTTTACAGTAGGCTAGAATATTAAGCTCACTGGGCAGTACCAGCAACATGCTCGAACATCGTGGCTTGATACAGCGAAACGGTAATTAATACCATGCCAAAGCCCTCTCGTTCCCTCCTGTGTGGAAAAAAGTTGGGCTCTTTTGGGAAGCAAGCGTAGGGCCGCAATCCCAAAAAAGCTTCCAGTTCCTTTCTGGGTTCGTTGTTTTGCTCACTGTACAGGGACATAGCAGTCCCTTCAGGGGACAACGGATTGGGGTGAGACCGTTTCATGTGTGAATTATGTGCGACCGTTTGCAAACCGCAACTCCGACAGTGGGTTGGCCGTCATTCGGAGCATCCTTTTTGGTTACCACTATGTTCACGTTTGAGCTGTTAAAGTAGCATGATGCGATCTTATTCAAAGCAAACTCTGACTCTAGAACATTTTCACATGAGTCAAGCTATGACAAGAAGAAGAGTTCTATAAAAAGGCGCAATGGATAGCAACTTTGGAACTAGTATTGTGGTGATTTGCAAGCTGTAAACAAGGGAGTGGTCTTTAAACCATCACAACTCAAGTGCTTAAATCATAGCAAGATCCGGCAAACTGTTACTTCCTAAAATTAAAAAACCGGCTTCATTGTTTTGTGCATGATGTGGTTTACTTTCCACTGGAAACGTAACTCTCATAAACACCAAATCCTCGTATCTTTGGAAATGTATTCCGTCCCCTGGACGTCACAACTTGTCCGCAGAGGACAGTTTATCACGGCCATGGTCACAGTTGTCCTCAAAAGTTATCGCCTGTTATCAGTCATTCCAAACGGACCCGTACATATTTCTCTGATGATCGTCACGACAAACTCTCAGTGGTACTTTATGATACCCCTCTTCCCGGCCGTTCACTTTACAAACCGAACGATCGTCGATGTTTCAGATTTGATGATAACTTTTTTATCGCTTTCAGGTTGCCAAGCATTCAAAGAAGAAGTCTTGAGGTCTCATTTCCGAACATTCATCCTGTTGAATTTCTTCCCGTTTGACTAAATTGATTCTTCGATTGATTGAGCTGTTTCCCCCTTCATATTGTGCGGGGCGCACATCCTCATTATTTTGTTGGATTTGGCCGTCCAATCCTTTTCACTGTCCCCCTATATCCATCAGTTTTTACATTTCTCTCTTAGTATCATTGTCGAGGCTCTTTGTCCCGTTTCCTGTTTGAATTGGCGACATACATTTTTTATAGATAATCTCTGTCTACGTGGCACGCAAATGTCATATAACCATAGGTCTACTGATCCCGTTAGTCCACTTCATACTGCTCCAGCTGAAAAGCGGGGTCGCATTCTGCTTGACTTTTGGTCTTGGCAAATAGAGTGAACTAAAAAGAGGTTAGGAGGCAATTTTCGGTTGCAAATCCCTTTTGTCTGAGCTCCGCTCTATTCTTGCTTTCCTTCGTCATGCTGGGGAAGCATCACTGCAAAGTGGTTACACTAAATTACGATAGCTCAAGGGGTTCGACACACCAACAGCCTGATTAATTCATATATTTACGCTTGCCTTCGTTTCTCGGACCAATTCATAGTGTTCCCGGTTCCAGTTGCTTGCAGTGGAATTGAGCGGAGCATACCTACGAAATTTAGGCCATCTTAGCTTCTTACTGGGGCTGCCCAACTCTCGGTTTACGCGATTTGAAAAATCCGGACAATTTTGAGACTCCCGCAATAGCTACTGTCAGTGCACTGAAAGACTTCGTATATTTGTGAGCATTCTCCATCAGGGATGTTGTATTTGAACGTAAAGTCCATTCTTTATTCTTCATGTAGTAGGGCACAAATGTTCGTTTTTATAATGCTAGCAGTTGGCCACTTAGCGACAGGATATGGGAAAACCCGCTATGTGGTCCTCGCCACTCTTAATCACTGTCAGAAGGAACTTCCGTACCTTTCCTTATTTCTCGATAAACGTCATTTCCAAGCTAAATGTCATTTAAGTCAGGTGGTCCCCGAGGACCTCGTTGCCAGAGTATCATTTTTGGGGCGGACAATACCATGCACCATTGTGTCCGGGCGTTAGAATAAGTAAATAAATCATTCAGCTGTACCACCCTTTCGGTGCCTAGCTGCCATGCCACACGAATGAGGCACGAGGGCTGGGATACTACCAGATTGCCCAAGCCTAGACAGAGAAAGTCGAGAGGCAGAGGTCGGGTTTGAACCGCAGACCTTCCGGTCAGTAAATCCGTGCTCTAACCACGGTCCATCTCGCCCCCTGTCCGGGCTTTACTGGTTAGAGGTCGATTTTTGCGGATTTGATGTGCTGCAAAAATATTACGAGATAACTCAACGGATGGCTTCATTCCTACGGCAAGATAGAACATTTAGTGTGGATCAACCGTTGCTTGTTGCCAGAAGACATAGGCCTCAGTGCAAAAAAGCATCGATCCCCATCTAATATGGGAACTGGAAGGGCAGGTGATTGCAGAAAATGTAGATGATATGTACAATTATTCTGGTATGGCTAATAATAAGAAACGTCGCTAAGCAGTCTAGTACAGCCATCTGGCGGGTACCCACTGTGGTTGGCACAAAAGATCATTTAAGCATTGTGATAAGCGTTCAAAGTTAGTTTCAATATTATCACATAGCAGAATCAAATCCAACAGATGCCGGTAGGTTTGTTCGATTTGTTTGCTCTGCTCCAGTGTTCTTCGAAAGTGCTCGTCCTGACGAAAGAAATGAGTGGATAAGGTGAGATGCTGATTACTTGATTTTGTGTCGTCTCATGTTATCGGCAAAACAGAAATACCATTGTTTATTTTCTTGAAGGAAACCGCTCAAAAGGTTGCTGACAACTCTTCAACGACCTCATGAATAGTTTTTTTATGAAAACATACCACGATATCTCGAATATCGTGCCAACTGAAACATGAGTCGGCCTTTGTGCAGCACATTCATTTGAAGAATAATATAAATGCGGAATTCATTTGAGTATCTGGTGAAATCCGCATTGATCTGCACATGGTTGTATTCGTCGAAATCTGACCAATTTGGGTTCAAGGAGAACAAGGTTGACGGAAACTCGAGGACTGCCCACCTGATGAGCCCCAAGAAGAACGAAACCAGTCGTGGGCTATCCAAGAGCTCTCGGCAACCTTGTGAGTAGTTTCCTTCAACCACGAGAACCGTTGATCGCATCAACAAGAGCGGCATTACACAGCGACAGTTCCACTTACCCTTTTCCATTTATGTGTAAACCCCATGCTCATTCCGTACTCATACATGGCTTTCATGCAGCTGACTGATGGTGCTGCAAGCAGGACCACATAGGGCATGAATTCTGAATTACGTATTCGGGGCACCGCTTGGATAGAACAAGCCAATAGGCAGGTACGTCCGGAATTGATCACCTCGCGGATACTGTCTAATTTGGTGCCGTAATAGTGTCCCTCGAATTCCCCGAACTGAATAAGAAATTACAATGAATAGAAGAAAAGCATCAACCTTCGTCGACAGTCTCCGTGTCTCTAATATGAACGTTCTCACAAAATAAAACAAGCAAACAAACAAAATTAGATGAATATACAGTTCGTTCCTTCAGGCCATGGGATCAGATGAGCAGTAATTGAATTCGCTACATTTGTAAGCGTGTCTGCACCAACGGTTGCGGACCTTCTCTGTGGATATTGTGGGGGTTCTCTTGGTGTTTTGTACAACGTTCTGCGCACTTTTTTTAAAGCACAGCTAAACACTTACTGTGAGTTATCAAGCAGTTTGATTGGTATGTCGTGTGTTTCCTGAGTCGAGATAGAACCATGGTAACATTCACGTTTTTTACCAAAATTCAGATAAACACGGTTTTGTGCAGTTGAAAGCGTGTATGCTATGGGGCTGAACATTTACACGTCACTGCCTTAGACGGGAAAATCCTTCACTCAGGATGGATGACAGAACTGTTTCTCTGTGTCAGTGATTGCTATTCATTTAGACGAGCCTAGCGCACCTCTATAATCCATGAATTGCATGTTTGCGCCGTAATGAAACACCAGTGTTCATCTGGTATTGCTTGCACCATAGAGGGTCACTATGGATCCCCATGAATTAAATTAAGAAGATAACAATGAAACCTTCTTACTTGTATCGAACTACCAAAGCAGTAGATAAAAACAAGGGCTATTCATGTTGTCTCCTAGAGACGGAGTTCTGTGATCTTTGACATCTGATCGAACAACAGCCTACCTCAATTCACGACTCGTACTTTGGCATGAATATTCCTCGAAATATTCGAAAGCATTTTGGAAGAAACAATCTTTTATATCCTTTGTGCGCTAGTTCTGTTCTACTTACCGTTGAGGTAACTAGACTCAACTAACTTAAGGGCTGATAGCGGTGACATGACCAACGATTATGTTCTTTCAAGCGCCATTCAACAGACTTCTGTGTCAAGAAGTACTTTGCTTGCGATCAATAAGCCATTTTGTCCAGTCTAGAAAACTGAACCCGCTCAACGAGACTAGGATAATGCTATGACGACCGTGAATGCATTCGCAACATCGCACACGACTGGTAGGAACAGCACTTTTCCCATACTGGATTAAGTCCTTTGCTATCTGGCAGGTCTTCCGCCAGACGGTTGATTATTAGTTTGATACGGGCAAAAGGAAGAAGGCCTTTACTGCGCAGTCATTCATTGGAAAACCCCAACTGAACAGTTGCAGACTATTGGACAGGGAACCAAAACTCTCATATGAATCTTGTTTGTGAGAACTGAGCATCCACCTTCTTCCTGAACTTTTCTCGACATTCATTGAGTATCACTCAAATGTAAACGAATGCGACAAAGCAATTCCACAAATTCCGCAATAAATCTCACTTTCAATGGAGAAAACCACATACTACTCGCATACCTCCTCAGTAGTATCCACCGTTGCACGAGTAGATCACTTGTGCTGGTTCAGTCGTGCCTAAAGACATGGCCGAAGAACGTTTACTCAAGGCGACTTAATTCATCCCATCACGATTTGTGGGACAAGTAACAGACTAGTAGATTGTGAAGTCCAGGAGGTGTATCAGATGTCTAACCTAAGGTTGTGACCACGTTTATGTGTATCGCCCGCCAATTTGAAGAGTTGAGACTTCACCGAGACGACGTTCGTCGATAGCTGCCTATAACACCAAGTCACAAAGCCAGTAACCCAATTGAATTGGTCCAATGATCTACATTGCCCACAGTTTATTTCTCCATTTATTCCTTCAGTGCGTAATCAACTACCATGTTTTCGATTAGAAAATGGAATGAGACAAAAGCCATCCTTTTAGGCAGGTTGCATTGCTGAGGAGTAAGACTGATTCTATTGATTGGTACTTATATGAACTAGTATGGTTAGCTCTTCGTGACTAAAACGAACAATAATTTGAGTTCTCTTCGCTTGACTTGATTGGCGAAATGTATGACTGGATGCTATCTACACGAGCAATCATGGCAATTTCCGTGATTTTCATCAAACATTCTACACACTGTCTTTTTCTTTAAAAATTCATTCTCCACAACGTTCCTCATATGGGTTTCTTGTTATCACTTAGACTGTCGACTTCTTACTTCTTGTTGCCATGTAAAATTCACTGGGGAAAGCAATCCTCTCATGTCATGTGTTTCCTATGTTCATTTTTAAATGGAAATGCACCACAAACCCTAGTACAAACTGTATGTGGCAAATTTGCTCATTTTGAGGTTCATGTTATCTCATGCACTGACTCCAAACGCTCTAAAGTGACCTCAAAATAGGCAAAGCTGAGTATGGAACTGACCTCGAGGAACTTGTTCTCATAATGGGCCTTCTCCATATTTGCGTGTGAATCTACCACAAATTCCGTTTCGTCATCTTCGTCCGGGTCACGTTCTTTGGTCGTGTCTGTAGGACGTGACGAGATGGTAGTGTCGTTGACAGTAGGCAGAATATTTGAACAGTACATTGCACAATGCGTATACTGTACGCTGGATATGGTGGTCACGAACAAATAGTAGTCCATGGCATTTTGTTGTGTTGCTTGTCGATGAATAAACAGTGATGTATTAGATGTGTCGGATCGAGTCTACCGCTATGAAATCATAAAAATGTAACCCTAGAAAGTTGAATTCTGTTGATGTTAGAGGACCCAGGGGTACTGTACAGTTATCTGGGCTCCGATGAGAATCAGCAGCAGCACATAGTTTTATCGCTGCAGCTGAAGGTTAGTGATCCTTGCGGATAGAAGCTAAACACTACAGTTCCATCAAAATTGCTGGATGGGATGTGGTCACAATGTAACAGTGCCGGTTCATTTCTACTAGCCCCCCCTCATGTAGAAGGATATTATGAATCTCGGCAACACAACTGCTCTATTCGAGCAACATTCAACAAACTTCAGCCTTTAAGACTTCGTTTGTTAATAGACTGATGTGTCTGAAATGATCAAATCGTATGAGAATAATATAAAACTACTCCGGTTACCAACCCACTTCAGTTGTTATTATGAAGCATCAGTTCCGGTTAGTCTAATCTGGCCAAACTTGCTGAGTCGTATTTTCCGTTTGGAAAATCAGAATTCAAAATATTTTTTGGTATTACCAGGTAAATGGTTTAGCACCTCAGATAACAAAGTGAAGTGGTGGTTAAATGGAATGAAATGCCCATGCGTTGTTCGACTTTCATCCCACAACTAAAGTCCTTCTACCGAAAAGTACTATAAGGCCGATTCATCCTTATTGGGAATACTCAGGAATGCGCATTTGGTGAATCACCAGGGTTATTCGAACCGCGACCTCTTGTGTAGCATTCGAAGACCAAACCGTCAAGCTACGAGCAGCTGATCAGCAGCGAAATTAGCTGGCACTCATAGAGACATCACGATTTCCAGCTTTCCATCACGGGATCCGTATCACGTGATCACAAGTCGACTGGCTTAGAGTGGCAACTTTTCAGCCGGGCTTCAGCGAATTGTGATTTATTCTTCCCACAGGGTTACACAGAAATGTTTGACGGTGAGGGAAAATTTGAAAATTTTCAGATTGGATCCTGTCAGAGAATCTCTGTTTCATCTTTATATAATATCTCCGAATATTTGTCTTGAAAATGAACAACGAATATGTAAACCGTGCTGCCTTTTCTCAGCCCACCTGCTTTATAATCCAGGACGTTAAACATCTTGTGCATATATGACAACCCTCACCCTTTTCCTAACAGCGACCACCAGGTCAAACTCGGCCGAAGAGCTACTCCTGCTGAGAGATCCGCCCACTTTCCCAACACACTGATGGCCAATGCCGTGTCCCGAAGACACCGGCACCCACAACAAAGATTAAAATATGCTTAACTCCAAGTTTTCGCCATATTCTGGGACCACGTTGTGTTTGGGTTCTCGAATTCCGGGCTAGTTGACCTTCATTGTAACGTAAGGTATTGAGCAGACACGAGCATAAAAGATAAGGCACCAGTCCATGTTTTATCATTGATCATCCATTATTCGGCTTGTGAATACGGCGCAAGCTGCATGCATATTACTACTTAATGTCTGGCTCATAGAACGAGTAAACACCCATCATCTTGTGGTGGAACCCGCAGAGTCCGCCAAGTGGCAAGAGCTCTTCTAGTCGATAAGAGTGACTGGCTAAATCTTTGAACTCCATTCATCGAGTATGGCTCAATCGTTCCGGGGCCATCCGTTGAACCGCGCCCGCAGCGATCAAGGTTGTGTTTACCTCTCAGTGGTCATCAGAAGCATGTGGGGGCACTGACTTTGACGTGGCTCTTTTTTCCATTAACTCAAGATAAATGATATATAGATTTTCCGCACACCTTTAAAGGGCATCTTTACCAAACAGAGTAACTGTCAATCCAGGCCTTATAGAAAACAGTGATTTGCAGAACAGTATTTCGGATGTCATTAGGATTTGATTCGACACGATCTACCCATATGAATGCAGTAGTGGTAGTAAATTAAGGGATTCCAGAACTTTTTAGAAAGAGTACACACATCTCCCCGGTTATTTTGCTGGTGCTAACTTTTCAAATCACCATGCTTCATGTAGCACAGAAGTGATGCGAGGAGCTTATCCGAAAACAGCTCAACCGTTAGCCAGTGCAATCAACCCTGCACTGACGATGTCACCTCGATTGGTGATAAAACGTTTGCAGTCCAACTGCGAAGCTCAGCGAACAGACCAACAACCATCCTCGGGGTTTATTTCAGTTTAGCTGTGCGAACTGACTCCGGAAACTGCCTGTGGACGAAATCACCAAGGAACAAGCTGATGCAACCATCTTTATAGAAGAACGCTTTGCCCGATGGTTCGAGTAGTTCGAACGACAGTTCTTGTGGCGAGAAGTTGCCACTCGTCTGGCACCTACAGGTGAACTAAAACTCCGGACGGTGAACATGCGATCCTCCTCAGCCTCCGAGTTCTATAAGTGCATATGCTCTCTCAAAGGCCACCAAGCTCCAGGTCCGGATGACTTCCCACCGACTCGATTGGTCAACTGCGAAGCTCAGCGAACAGACCAACAACCATCCTCGGGGTTTATTTCAGTTTAGCTGTGCGAACTGACTCCGGAAACTGCCTGTGGACGAAATCACCAAGGAACAAGCTGATGCAACCATCTTTATAGAAGAACGCTTTGCCCGATGGTTCGAGTAGTTCGAACGACAGTTCTTGTGGCGAGAAGTTGCCACTCGTCTGGCACCTACAGGTGAACTAAAACTCCGGACGGTGAACATGCGATCCTCCTCAGCCTCCGAGTTCTATAAGTGCATATGCTCTCTCAAAGGCCACCAAGCTCCAGGTCCGGATGACTTCCCACCGATGTTGTTCAAAGATGGGGGCGAAGTTCTGTAAGCACTTGTCTGATCTGTTTGCCTGCATTCGGGTAAAAAAAGACCGTTGCAGACAGCTGACGGAAGAGAGGAATAGGGCCCGTTTTCAAAAAACGGGCTCGTGGTGAACGTGGCAACCACAGGGGGGTCAACTTGACCCCGGTTGTAACGAGACTGTTGGCATTACTTGTGCTTCATCATTTTGTAGTGAAACAATTATTCGAGAGCAGCAGGCGGGATTCCAACCCGGTGGAGGTTGCATTGACTAAATTTTTACACCGTCACGTGCTAGAACAACACCGTACGTACAAACGACCCACAATTTTAGTATTCCTGAATTTATAAGGCGCATTTTACTCGGTTGACCGGTTTGTTCTCCTTGGCACGCTTCCTCATCGAGGGATGCCCCGGAAATTTGTTAACATAAAAAGTTCTTTGTGCTGTAAGACTTCCAAACGTGTGGTAGCATACAGAAAGTTCTCCAGAAGCTTCCGTAAACAAAGCGGTGTCCGTCAAGGCTACCCAGTCTCTTCATTCCTGTTTAATTTCGTGATCAATGAGATAATGAGATGAACGCTGCAGGTTCCTTAAAAACCCCAAATTCAAAAACTTTGTCGATCTGGAATATGCAAACAGCATCGTTTTCGTCTTCAAAGAAGAGAAAAAGGTGCAGATGTTTTTGGATGAACTGAACAATTCATTCCGTCCTTTGATACGTACTTTGCACCCACAAAGTGTAAGGTCCTTTTCCTGGATATACAGTCACCGAACATGCCAATTGCAATCCAGGGAGATGCACTGGAAGTTGTGGAGCGCTTTACATATCATGCAAGTTGTAGTACTTCTGAATGTAGTGTGTTAGATAAAACCAGTGCTCAGATCTGTAAGTCTCGGGTCGCGTTCGCTAATTTGAGACACTTATATCTTGAACGGGGATTATCTCCGAATCTCACAGGAAGTACGTATCAAGCTACAGTACAGTTTGTTTTTTTGTATGACCGTGAGACTCTTGCTCGAGCTGCGGAACTGAGACGTCTTCAGGCGCTCGACAACTGCTGTTTCGGAACCATAACTCCTGTGGGTTGGTGCCGACAAATGTGTAAGGAGGCAGTTAGAAAGTGAGTTTTCGGTTGTGGAACAGGGGCTTCCATCGAGGGATGTATCCAGCACCAGCGTTGGTTAAGCCGGGTATTGCGCATGCCGAACAATCGTTTGCGGAAGAGAGTGCTGAGTTCCGCGCCCAATTCAGAATGGTGGAATAAGGGAGGTGGCCAATCATTGACCTTACAGAGGGGCGTGGAAGAGATTACGTCGGTGCTACTTGCCCTTCAAGATGGGGACTGCATGATCCCCACTGTGCCTGGTTGGAGACGCTGCAAGATATGGGTGCCAATCGATTTCAATGACATTCTTTTTGTCATGCTGCCTGAATACGTGTCTGGAGGTGTACGTATCTCGGGATGATTGTAACAAGCCGGCAGTTAGTCCCTCCCACATCTACTTTTAGCTATCACTTCACAGTAATGGTGTCAAATAAATCAAGATTATATGGGAGCAAAGCACCAGTGTTAAACACTGATGTCATGCTGTCGATAGTGATGGTCATTGATCAGTTGGAATTTCATCCTGTAGGTGAAGGCGATCTGTGTTGAAAGTCTAGAAGCACTGTACATCTATTAAATCCTCATTGAAAATTATCTGCAGTGCGCAGCTCGTGGAACTCAGGGTGCTTCGAATTTGCGACCTTCTGGCTAGTGGTTGAATACCTAATCTGTCGGTTTCGAGGGGCTGGGTAGCAGTGTGATTAGCTCCAGCTTAAACAGGTTAGACAGGCGCTCATCCCACACTCACAGAAACCACATCACGTGCCACGTATTGATTTAATAGCCCCCCAAGTACTAAATCTCAGATGAAAGTTTCGATCATCTTGTGAAATCATTACTCCTCTGCGATACCCACAGATGGATCGTAGTGTGACAGGACGAAATCTTGACTGGAAATCAAGAAATCTCACACTACGAACGAAGGTATTTGTATTCGAATACCAGCACTTCTTTATAGTCGCTGACTGCTTAGAAGGCGTTGAACTCTTTTCGGATAACCGCCTGTCTGTTTCATAACAGCATTTAAAAGGCTAGGTGATTGTGTCGAAGATTGGAGACAAAGTGTATTCAAGTATATTATCTCTGAAAAGTACTTTCAGAATTGTATGAACTCACTCACTTACAAATCAGACTAATCTTTTCCTAGGACCAGCACTACAGGTAAAGAATGCTCAGTAACTCACGTAGAACTGCAGTGCCATATCGCTCCCTGTTCGATCGAATCAACATTTCTAGGAGTGACCGTCTGCCCACTCCATCTGCCCCGATTAGACAAATCACCGGACGTTGGAACCCAGATATTAATGCCACTTCTTCGTACAATGTTATATCCTTCGTTTCGTATTCGTCGGCGTCACGCGCGCGAAAAGGCACAACCACCTGCGGGAAAATGATACAGAGAACAGTCTTGAATTTAGAAGAATCACTTGGTGAAAAAACTGTCAATAAGGTCACCCGATTTTCCTTTAGTAAGTCGTGGTTAATTACGAATGTCAGCTGTACGGAATGCTCATCCAGCGAACCACTCTTCTCATGCGGTTTTGATTTTACTATCACCATAACGGCGACCCTTCTGTGGTACCACATAAACTTGGGATAAAATTGGTTGGCAGGTCAACTTAAGACATTCTCCAAGCTAACTGACAAATTTCTATCGCCGGTTTTTAAAAAATAACTTTGGCCGGAGAGATCGCAGCCATCGAAAAACGAAGCGAGGGAGTCATTTCACTAATACTCAGGCTAATCGACAGCAAAAGATGTACAATCCGTGACAGCTCTACAAACACAATTGCAAACTTAAAGATATTTAGGATTACAGTTAAAAACATTTGAGAAAACATCAACTTTCTGGGACCCGAAAATTCAACAAGCTCACAAAAACCGGAGTACTAACACGAAAGAACCTTAGGACCAACTTAGTCTACTGAACTGTCCACAGCGAAAACAATCAACATTCATTCAGTTCAATCTCAACAGGAGAATGTACAAATCTCGGGGTTAAATTGGAAGTTAAACCTACCCAGATCGTTTTTTTTAATAGCTCTCCATGTTAAATGTGTTCTACCGAGGCTGCATGAATTCCAGGTTTCGAGAAATTCGAGAACACAGACCCCTTCAATCCATTTCATCGAAACAAGTGGTATGCTCGGATATTCACACAGATCTACCACAGTCCACAGCAAACCGATCACTACGCCTAACCCTTCCATTATGATCCTTAGGAAAGAAGTCGCAGAGTCTCCATTAATCCTGCTCGTTGCGCCTGACCTATTCTGCTTCCAGGGGTTTGTTTAACCATTTTATCTCACACGAGATCGGACAGTTCACGAGGTGTTACAGTGACACCCGCATTGGTAAAGCCCAAATTTTTGTTCAGAGGATCTGAAAGTTTTCTAACAAGGTCATCTGGGGTCTTGTAGACTGATAGATCGGCACAACAAGCGGCCATACCAAGTTGAATGTCATCGGCCTCGAAACCTATCTCAGACAGGCTATATGGTTTATCCTGCTCATGCGTTGATTATATTCTGCACACTCCAAACCCAAAGCCGTTCGCCTCTTGCGAAGCAATCCTGATAAAGATGCCGTAACCAGGACTGTGTGCGCTGGTCGATTCTATACACCTCCCCTGGAAATGAACACCACCATGAGGGCCTCAACTATCTAATCGAAGTAAGATGAAAATACCAGCCTTCCATCTTATGCCCATTTGTGTATAAAACATCGTAGTGCAGCTCAGAAGAACCAGAAATGATGTCGGATCCCATATCTTAGCCGAACGTTCCATCACCTTAGAGAAACAATTACTTTGAGGCAGGGCAACTGGCAGGTTATTCACCCTGGGTCAATCCAACAAAAAGTGTCAGAGTGTACTTGGTATCAGTTTCTATTGTAACAAGAAATGAGAAAACGCTCAGAGCCGAATCGACTCTGAAGAAAACCATTGTTTTCACATGACCTAAGATTGGGTACCGCTTATCTTCGACTGCGATTCAGGAATCCAGAGAGTATCAACGTAGCTACGTCATTTGTAGTGGTTAGAAGAAATTCAAGATTGATGGGTTACATGCATGAAGTTATCACTGACATGGTATGCAATCGGTTTTACTGGAACAATTAATCAAACTTTCATTTGAGAAGTCTCGTTATCCTTTAAAAGTCTCAAACTGGTAATAATCAATGGTATCCAGCACTTTACTATTTACATCAATACTAAATCGATTAGTGGTGCATCTAACTTCCGAGAGTAGATAGGAAATGGTGTTTCAGTAGAATAGCACATGTAACTTCTACATTGCGGCGGGCTGGATTCTGTTTGGTAGCATCAACGTATTAGCACAGTCAGCTTATGTCCGTATCCTGAATCCACTAACAGGTTCTGAGTAGTAATTGCACACTAAAAGTAGAAGAGTACTCGTCTACACCTTCAGTACACTGCCAAGGTGACTTGAGAAACTTGATAAAGATATCGTCCGGATATCCCTCCAAAACATCACAAAGTATTTGATACAGGTTGGGAGAAACAATTTTTTCGGGCACATTGTTCCGGTTTCCTTTTTTGAGGTGGAGAGAAGATGGTTTCATATTTTTGTCATGATTATCTTTTCCTCCTCCTTTCACAAGCCCTATCAACTAATGATTTTGTGGTCTGTTCATATCTGTAAGCCATTCAAGCCGACTAGGAACGGAGCTGTGCTAACAATTTGGGGCCTCCACAGTTTCATCGAGGAGTGTAGACAAGAAACGATAGATATTTATGAAGTCAAGTACGTCGGAATAACAATGTGCGTGGATCTTCATTATTCGATACTGATGCCTGTTTTTTCTTCATAACTTATCACACAGTGGGTGTGGGGACAGAATGTCCTTAAGCATACCTGTTTCCGCCGGCGTCTCGCAAGCCCGCAAGCGACCATTTTGTAAGTAACCTCTTCTGGACTGGGAGCACTTTGGACAAATGCCCTTCTTCGTTCCTGTAAAACTATGGAGGGAATCAGCCCAGCCCGCTGATGATGACCGTAATGTCTGGCCTAAAAAAAAACAAGAAGTTCCATGTTAGTCAAGTTTGTAGGGTAAATACTCTTCGGTTTAGCAGAGGAACCTTGGAAATGCTGGTTCACAAGTTCCTATAGAATTTGGTATGGTTTGAGCAACTTATCAACACTCAGAGGCAAGGCTTACATAGAAAAACTGAAGCTCTATCCGTATGATAAGAAAATAGGTAGCAAATAAATGCAACCTGATACAATTCTCATAAAATAAATGTCCACGTGCACTATGAGGTATTCAGTCATCTGCTTAAATCCTGGTAGGTATACACAAATATGAGACATCTGTTGTTCTCATCGAGAAAAACAGTAAAACTAAAGCCCTAGCGTCTGATTTATCACTCCATTTATAGGTGATTACTGCATCTGATTAGATTGAGTGTCTATCAGTCTAGTGATTGTCGCTATTGGTTGAACTTCTCAAGCATAGCTGGTAATCAGTAAGTTAAACTACGCTCAATAGAATAAAAGGAGATATTGCACTATCAAATAACCACCGTTGCGTTATTCTGACACCCACGAAAAGAGGGTCCTAAGAGACAAGAAAATTGATCTCGTTTCTCACATACTGTATGAATTTAGTGGAGAGAAGTGGAACACAAGAGACGCACTTGCCACCAATAAGGATCCTCCTGTTTGAGGACTTGTAAAACGTCACCGGCACTGAAAGGTAATCCAGCCTCCTTGCAGGGTATGAGATTGTCATTTTTCGGATTATACGAAAAATATGTTCTGAGAAACAGCTGGAAGAGTAAAGAAATCACAGTAGTAACGTGTAAGGAGATAGAAAAGAAGGTCAGTGAGATTCACCAACAAGGTAACAAACAGAAGTGCCCGTTAGTGTGAAAATCCTGTTGTCACATGCGAACAGAAACAACCTAAGTCTTGTATGATGCTCAGTTCATTCAGCGCTCCATGACACTTCACGCGCTAAAAAGCAAAAAAACTGAGTTCACTCATGGGGAAATGCTGACAGGATGGCACACCGACTTGAACAGACCACCTGGTTTCTTAAGGTTTAAAATTTCGAATTATATTTCCTAAACCATCCATTCTTCTGTGAAATTTAGGTTTACCCATCTGATCCTAGAAGTTCTTTAGTCGGGAAGAAACCCGCGTCATGATGTAGAACAAGATTAGAACCATCTGAGCAGATAGACTGAAGGAGTAGGAAATTTTGACTTTTTTCAGTGAATTGTTCTACAGTTCGTATATGTGTGAGGTATAAAAGCATCAAATGCATGACTGAGGCGTGCCTAGCAGTCGCTCGAACCAACCAATTTTCTAATTGTCCTTGGTGAGTGGGCTTTGTGTCGGGTAGGCAGAAAGTAACCTTGCGAATGAATATGTAGGGCTTCTCCTGTTTTCTTTTTTGGTGGACGGAATAACCATGGAATTATGTGACCAAGTAGACAGTCAATATTGCATCGCTCTACTCCCGTCAAATAAGGAGAAACAGCCAAAGTCTATGAATTGCAGGCTATTGATGGAATTCGGTAAGTGTGATGTAAAAAGCGGAGGGGAGATTACCAGTGAACTGATCAACTGGGGCACCCGAAACGCATTTTTGTTTACGAACGAAAATGAGTAGGCTGGACGAACACGATCACCCACCCAATCAGTCAGCCAAACCGACTTCCGCTAAAACACAAGAATATGAGTAAAACTGTCCGCATCAGTGACTGAAGTCATTGAACTGGGTTCACTCAGGCTATTCGTTCGTTGAGTAATTGATAGGCAGGTAACAAATACGGCTCACAGCAACCAAGCCTATTCACTGCGTGCCATCACCCAGAGTCCACTGATATAATGCAGCCCAAAAATTCACACTGTCCCAGATCAGATGACTCCCATGATTGGCATATACAATGGTTGTTCTCCTTGAGCGCCACCAGTCTGGCACGCAAGTAGTAGCGGTTACTTCATCTGAGTAACGACTGGCAACGTTAAAAGTACAGTGGACCTTTCTTCATTAAGGAGACTACCCACAAGGTTGCTGAAAATTCTTTGACAGTCCACGGCTGGTTTCGCCTTTCTTGGAACTCCTCAGGTGGGCACAGTCCCTGAGATTCCGTCAACCTAATGTTCCACGTGAACCCAAATTTGACTGACTTCGACAAATGCACTCATTTTCAAGTTAATTTGGAATCATTAAACTTATATTTTAGCGTACATTCACCGGTAGTTCATCTAGCTGTTCTACCACTAAGGGGGTCACATCGTGGGAAATCCGGTGGTATCATTAAAAATACCGAGGCGACCCGGTTTATCATTTGCTATTTCCCGATTATTATATAATGTCTTTTTCATAAAGGAAACTACCCACTAGGTTGCTAAGAGCTCTTCGACAGCCCACGATCGGTTTCGCCCTTTTTGGGGCTCATCAGGTAGGCGCAGTTCCTGAGTTTCCGTCAATCTTATGTTCTACTTGAACCCTAATTGGACTGTTTCCGAGAAATATACTCACTTGCAAATCAATTCGGTTCGGTTTTCACACTGAATTAAATGTCCTATTTAAAGCACCCCTGAATGACGAGGGTGGGAGTGAATTTTACTGCATCAAAATAACCAGCCAAGCTTCATGATCCTTCTCGTCCACGCTGTGGCATAAACTAACCGCTCCACCATTCAACCGGCCAATAAGTAGGCTGGTTCTATAAAAAATACGGATCCATTTTTATTATTCTCAAAGTGTAGAAAAGTGCCGAAGATCCAGGCAGTTTTCATCCATCACGGAATCTCAGCTATGTTTCATTGGTATACCTGAGTGAGAGATAAACGCTAAGCTCTCTTCTGTTGGGTCACATCTGATTACGGAGTGTAACAGGTGACCAGTGCCCCAGCAGCACTTTATCCTGGAGATCGTAGGTGATGTTCTTCATAAGATGAGAAAACTGAGAAAAATCAGGCACACAGATCGAAATCGAATGGGACAATAAATGGCAAACAGCAGCAGACCACATGAAACTTCATGCGTTATGCTTATTGCCGCCAACTTCTGGAGAGGTGAAACTATCGTTCGGTGCTTCTGAAATCTTACAACCATTTTCAAACTAACAAAGCGGGAAAGTGGAGGCTCTTTTTGATGGGAACTGCCGAAAGAAGTGACCATAAAAACGCAGAGAATTAACCTGCATTAGTCCATTGTGCTTGGGCTTCAAGGCTAGTCAGATCACTCAGATCAGCTGATCTCGTTTGGAAAACATAAATGTATGGCCTAACCCAGAAAGCGTTCAGAACGATCAGTAGGGTGATGCCGATAATAGTCTGTTATTGGTCCACAACAAAGGTTCAGAGGGTGTGGTTTCCGCGCTCGGTACATCTCAAGAGTACCGAAACGTTTCCAGAAACACATGAGGAGGAAAATCTGTATTTCGTCCCTATTGGTTGACTGCGTCGCATAGACAAGTTCCTTACTGGAACTACCACAACACTACCCAAAACAGTTTCACCACCTGATATTGATTTTTGGATTTTTCCCTTATCTTTGGCCAGACAATACGAGTTCATGCAAGTCAGCTCAACCGCGTCAAAATGTTTGTTGGAAGAAACAGTCAGGACTCTTGATGTCTACCACAACTGCGGGTATCAATCACAGGAAGTCGGTAGGAATCCGTGAATACTGACCTGAGTGGTAGTTGGCGTGGACTGGTAACCAGGAATAATTTTGAACGTGACAGTTCCAACGGCATTTCGCAACACACGCTGAAGCATTTGTGGTGTGTCTACCGGAACACCATTTGCCTCACGAATAACGTCGCCCTCGTGAAGCAAACCTTGTTGCTCAATGCGAGATGCTGTTAGAATGCGCTTGATAACAAGCTCCTTGACTAGTCCGTAGTGTGCAGACATGTATTGTTGTTGTACAACGGTTATCCCCTGAAGAAGAAAGAAAAAGCGAGTCAGTGTGGCCTACATCATAGTGAAGAAGAATATGAAACCACCTTTTTAATCTTCTCAGACATCAGATGGAATTTTAAGTACAAATTCATTCCTCAAAACCTTCGATGAACAGGAAACCGCCAGTCGAAACCGATATCAAATGATCAAGACTCCTGTAACCGAAATCATTTTTCTATGTACAGATATCTGGGGCCATATTTGCGTGACACCCTTGAGAGGAAGCTCCCAGAGTGGTTGCGGCGACGAAACTATGAAAAATTCTGTCTTCCAGGATTTATTTGGAGCGGCCTACAAACGCTAACTGGTTGCAACCTCGTTGAAAATCGCGTCCTCACTCACGAGTTCTGAGTGTCAACCTGGTCATTCCCCAAAATGAATTTGCTGGTCTTCTGACTCGGAAAATTTTCAAGACCAGTCATCTTTCGAGCGGGATGCGTTTGAAGTCGCTGACTTTCGTCAACTCATTCTTCATAGATGAGTCCTTATTGGAGAGTAGGAAATATGCTCCCGGAGAAAACAACTGTGGATACAAGCAAAATACACTCATTTGCTGACAATATTGGTTTTGCGAGAGATTCACCTGGAACTCAACTGAGTCGCTCGTTTGTGGTGTTTCAAGGCAACTGAATGTACTGCACCAGGCCGCCTCATGTTTCCGTTGCTACGATATTCGAGATATCCCGATACATGTATATTCGTAATGCACTACTGATATGGTTGCTGAAATTTCTTCGACAGTCCACGTTTGGTTTCGTCCTTCTTGGGACTCATCAAGCAGGCTCTGTCCCCGAGTTTCCGTCCAACTTATGTTCTACTTGAAACCAAATTGCACGAAAATAGCGAAATACACTAATTTGCAAACAAATTTGGCTTTGCAAGAGACTCACTTGGAACGCAGCTGAATCTCTCGAGAGCAACTGGAAGTAACTGAGATTGTGTTCCATACTACTTTTAAAACATATATCTGGTGACAACTATGAACAATGACATGATGCACCTATCACAATTCATTTATCCGTGTCCACCGGTATAACAAGCCCATCGTTAAGCTTGGTGATAAGGTGCCGTCGTTGAAGCAGAAATCTTTTAGCCTGAAAACTGTGGTCCACTGATGGAATTGAGTGGTCAAAAAAGCTGTAGACCCACATGTCTCGCCTTCGTAGTTTGACATAACTCCATCCCTTGTCGTTCCCAGCGTTCTTGTCCAAAACTCGTGGTTTCACAACTCGAATGTCGTTCACCCTACATCACCGGCTGATCAAACTTTCCAGATCGTCATATTGAGCGCATTTGCGTATTTTCAAGCACAAAGACGGTTTTGTCTATCTGATTCGCAGACCACCCACCTCGAAGCAGTTGTCACTAAAAGGGCTTGACAGGTGATCTCACAAGTCCGGATGTATGACCAGGCTCCTCATATTTAGATGCAATTAAGTGTGTAGGTGTGAAAATGTTTCGTTTTTATGAAGCTCCACGGACGACGCGGTTGAAAGCACAGAAGTGATAACCAGTCCTACTGGCAACCATGCGTCTGTAAATTTTTATCCCCTGTACTGAGGAAGATGTTATTGAGACGATAGTTCCCTTCCAAAGCTACAGTTCACAAGCTCAGCTCAGTCTTTGTACTAAGACATCATTCTCGCCTTGATACTGCAACAAGAACATCCAAGTAAGTAACGACAGCTCAACTCCAACGTATATAGTACTCATTTCCAGTGGGTAACGATGCAACACTAAGAACGACAACTATTCAACACACCTTACTGGTAGCTTTGATAATAAGTTCTTTGAATAAGCACCACAATTTAGTGGTTTGCTAGCAGGCATCTCGGTTGATAGAACACCCTACCAGTAAGTGAGAGGCCGAGACTTGTAGTCCTGTCCATAAAAGCGTAAAACAATGAAGACCAAATGGGGAAAATTCTCGATAACAAACCGTTGGTTGCATGGCGAAAGTTTTGTCTCTATATCAAGGTAACCGTGTTACAACTTTTCTCAAAAACACTTAAAGTCAAAATAATATCGCAGTAGGCACAAGGGGGTGTACAATGCAGAATATAGCAACAAAACTTCAACCTACTCTCGACAGTTAGTCTCCGTACAGCACTCCTGGAAATTTGTTACATACCCATAGTTGTTTAGACAAAAAGTTAGTATCCAAACCCACGGGTTGATAGACTACATAGTTGTATGTTGGTGTTCCCTAAAATGATAACCAGGAACGCCTTCTCCCTGCACGCTTAGTGTTCGCTGGAATCAGGAGAACCTACGGCTGTTCTAAACATCCATCACTCTGACCTACAAATAACCCTCTGAAGGGAGATATTTTAAGATTTTTTGAGTTATTGGGACAAGGGGAAGGAGTACTTTGGTGCCGAAAAATGATAATGAACCTGGATAACAAGCAAACAGCGATGGAGATTACTGTTGCGAAGTATAGCTCATTACTGGAGCTAGAATAGACGTTGCAGACCACTCACACGGTTACTGAGAGCCCTTTGACAGCCCACGACCGGTTCATCAGAGTAGGGTTCACCAGGTAGGTGCAGTCCCCAAGATTCCGTCAACCTAATGTTCTACTTGAACTCAAATTGCACCCAATTCGACACCTAATTCGCGTGCCATTTAGGATTTCATGGGAGAATTACCTAAAACTCAGCTCAATCATAAAGGAGAGCTTCAGTTGGCTTCAGATGAGGCTCTCATGAAAACCAAAGTGGTATGCAAATGAACGTATCGGTCGGGGAGCTAGGGTAGTGTTGCGTGCCTGGCAATGTTTGATGAAGGCCTTCTGGTACGGAATTTCGCTCTCCCAAAAGACCGCATAAAGGTGTTGGTCACAAATGATCTTCTCTTGGAGGACCTTGCAAAAGCTAGAAAAATACTGGACAGACATTTTTAGACCTAGTGTGACAAAACATTGTTTGGACATTACACTATAAATGTTCCTCTCTCGACTGATCGACCCAAGCGCAGAACAGTTTTGCCCGGCCTCTTGAGACTTGTTTCAAAGGTTATGATAACCTTGGAAGAGAAGGGACCAGGTTCGGTCATAGCGTCAGGTGGTCTCCCAGAGAGTGACAAATGTATAAGCAGATAGCTTTCAGCTGGACACCAAATTACCTGCTATCTAGCTGAACTCAAGTGTGAAAAGCTTTACTCAAAAACATGGGGCCTGCAGAGCTCACTCTTGACGGGCCCAGAACACAAAAGTATCAAAATTTGAAGCAAGTTCATTAATATTTGATCTCAAAATTCTTTCCAACAAGAACTCCACGCAAAGGGAGGGTCTCTCCATGTTTCTAAAATTTAGCAGACGTTTCAGATGACTGTTAGTGTCCGGGATTTTCTGAGGATAGTCTCCTCAGGGGCAAAAATCGCACAATGAGGATAGACGCATTCAGCACATAAGGAAAATTATCAGATGGTTTGTCTTGCTACAAATTCCCTCGGCCATGGACTGTTCTAGATAAACTGTACAGCCAGTCCAGCGAGTGTTTTCAACCAGGCAGTATCAGGCTCCTGAAATGCAGAATAACTACAACATACCAGGTCTTCACCGAGGTTTTTCTCAAAGCTGACTATCTTCATAGTTCCTTCCACCGGTGGAAGTGCGGGACCAACCCCTCCTCCGGTCAGTGTCGCTTCGTTGATTCGTCCATCAAGGTATGCTGGCATGCTTCCAGTACCTGTCAGCTTTGGCTCATTGTATGCGTTTGTCACACTTGCAGACTTTCCGTGCAAAGCAAGCTCGCCATCACCCACTACGTTCTGTGGCATTATCGAACCTCTGCTGGCAGCAAGACTGGCCAAAGTGCCGTACGTCCCAGAAATTGCATAGAACGCCGATTCTGGGAGCTCTGGCATGTGAAAGTGTTTTGTCGCCACTTCAGTATAGGCTTCAGCAAAGCTGCGAAAGTGCGATGTGCTCAACAAACGCACCAGCTCATTAGATTCTACGTCATTTTGGTCAACTGAGAGTGGGCCGTTGTATAAAACCTCTAAAGTGTCTTGAAGTAAAGCAACCAAATTTTCGCATTCTCCAGGCACTTCTGGTTGGGATACGGAAAGAAGGTCGAAAATCTGTGAAAACAGACGGAGAAGAAAAACGAGACGACAACTCGTGACCGACATTTCACTTTAAGAGTACTCAAGTGATGTGTGATAAGAGACACATCGACACAAAGCTCTTACTGACTGCCAAATATCGGTGGTTCAGTTGGTACAAGACACAGAAAAATTGCAACAATAATAAAGGAATTGAAATGATCAGGAGTGAAAAAAGTATGTACGGCCTGCAATATAAAATTTAGCTTCTATCAGGAAGGTCAGGTTCCTGAAAGCAACCACTGAGTGCCCGAAATCTACTGAGGCTCTCAGCTCCGCCAGATGTTGACCAGACTGACAACGCTTTCTGAATATGCAGTGTATCACAGTCTTGTATCAAACCTAGGCAGCGAGAGTCAGAGTTGATCAAGGTCAGACAAAGCCCCGCAATATGCAGCGCAGTCTCGTACCAAAGCCAGACCGCGTGAATCAGCATTGGACCAAGTTCAAACAGTGTCCCTCCAATAGGTAGTCTGAGACCTTTGTACTTTCGCGCTCGCACGAACTCGCTCTCGCACTCGCTTGTTCGGAATACAGCTGTTGTGTTCCCTTCTGTGAGTCTTTTTTCCGGCATTAGACACTGGAGCGTGTCAACGGTCAGACGCAACAAATTGACGAATCAGCAGATATAACTGCCCCACTTAAATTTGGAGATAAATGTGTAGAACCGCTTACAAAAATGTCTTATGCCGAAACTCCTCTGAACATGCATACAGCTTTGGTGAGCAGTGTCCGACCAGGATTCTGAGTGAATGGCAAAATTTCAAGAGATAATCTGATAAGGCATGATAACTGACAGTTCCAACTATAATTTGTTTGTATCCATTCACTATTTGTTTTAGAAATGCTTTATTTCGGCCATACACTCAAAGCAGGGTAGGATCCGCACAAGCCTAAAGATTGTGTAAGAGTTTACTACATATCCATCCTCTTTATTTCATGTGAACATGGAGTATGGAAGTGAGAAAGACCCACTGTTGTAGGCCTTCTGTGCATTGTGACAGTATAAAAACAACAAAGACATGACATCCGAGGGGACACATCGGAAGGCATGGTAACAAGAGTTCTTAAGCGGTTGAGATTACAAGACGAGGGACTAAAAGAAATAATAGGGAACTAAACGATTTGGTGTTTTGAGGTAAAAAGATACGGAGGTCAAACCGGCTTCTGATTGAGAATGTTTAGTGGGAAATTTCACTGGGGCAATACTTCTGGGAGAAGATTTAAACCCAAATATGGGGATACACTCAAGGTCCATAGAGGTGGTTAGAGGATGTAGAAGATTGAATAAATGGAGATCTTGAGTATTTGCCTACGGTTGTAGATAACAAACCTAACTTCGGCAAGATCGGTGAGATGGTGGTGGTCCTTATGTGGCCATATCAAGCCCATAGGAAAGAAAACACTAGGATAGATAAGAGATAAAACAATGAAGGCTGGTCCTGACAGGAAACATATGCTTAATAGGCACAACTGATGGAAAGGGTGGTTGATATAGAACAATAATAAAGTAAGAGGGTAACCGAAACTTGAGTGACTCGGATAAGGCAGGCGCTTAGGCGAAATCCATCTAGACACACAAGTGGCACACGATTCTCCAGGCAACTACGCATCCAGTTTTTCCACCTTGGATACACGTCCGACAATGAAACACTGGTGAGAATGCCAGCACATCAAATCTTGTCAAAGGCCTCAAATACATTTGGCTTTATCAAGGGAATCAAGAGCAGAGGACCAAAATGTGACAGGCACGATAATAGTTCCCTTCGAGGAGACTGCACCTGAACCCTTATTGGTGAATAAGCAGGAGGGTGTCACCTTCAGGGTATGGCGCGACTTCCCTTCCAAAGATCAAGACCACTGGGTTTGACAGCTGACCGAATGTTGTGGAAGGTGCGTGGAAATCTTATAAAAGCGGTTGTTTACTTCATATTTTACTCCACCTGCTAGCTACCAGAACCAATCAGTAAAATGAAGAGGTAATGTTAAAGAAAGATTATTTGTTACCCTCCACCTCGGCGATATATTCCGATAGGAGGCTAAGAAGATTTTTATGCGCGTTCGAGATTTTAATCGGGCTGATCACCTCGATGGACGAAAACTATAGACACTTCAGTGTAACCTAAATTTACGTCAAGACAGTTAGATTTCTCTGGTGAAATTCCGGGACGAGAAGTTGTGGATGCTACTTGAATTTATGGGGTGATGTGTTCCTGTTAACTGGAAGTCAATCTGTACGGTAATTCCAAGTCACACTGGTGTCAATGAGCCCCATTGTTTAAGCGTAACTCATAAATAATGAGAAATTTATACGTGAAGTGATGAGAATATATAATATTGAGCGTTTCTGTCACCAAAAACAACCGCATATAGTTCCACATACAAGTAGTTCAAAATCACATCAGTATCCTAGTTTTCCGCCAAACGTATGTGTCATGCAATCTAAAAAGGCCAGTACATCCAAAGTTGACTCTACCAATACACTAAATTTGATGTGTGAATTCATTTCATTCAGATAGTCGTGAAACCCCCTGACCTTGTCTTGTTTCACACGACGAAGTTGTCGTCTACGTAACGTCAGCCAAAGCTCGCCGTTCAAAATCTTCCATAAATATATTTGCAAAAAAGCGGATGCTGGAAGTCCCATTGCTAGACCTTGTTCTTGAGTGAATACCACAGAGTCAAAAATGAATTGGGTGAAGGCATGCTGTTATACCTTTCACTATTTTATTTACCGCAAGCTGGGTTTCCCTCTGAAGGCAACCTTTTGAATCGTTAATTGACATTCGACACTGACCTAGTGCGCTAATCCGAAGATGTCTTACTGTTTGGTTAACTGTCTGCCTTGAAACCTAGCCAATTTGGTGACCTGCTCACTTGACCTAATTAAGTTTTCGGCTACCAAGCCCTTCTAAAATGATAAATTCCCAGTCGGTCCCAAACTTTTTCCAACTGATTGTAGACTGAAGTCCATTTTACTCATTATCAGTGTGAAAACATTTCGGATTTTCACTACAGGTTTCATCCTGTAATCAAAGTCCGTCTATACTAAAAGGTTGAGAAACACCGTATGACTGTTCCAACGCTTATTAGCAGTAATCAGCCGTAAGTAAGCAGCCGCAGTAAGCAGCAGTAAGCATCCCATGAAACTCAAGGGAATCTGGAACCAGCGGTTTCCAGGGTGGTAACTTGGACACAACCGAACGGCCACGAGCGGCTGGTCAGCAGTGTGAATAAATCAGACTAAGACAGGACATACATCCACGTTTCTACTAATCACGGGGTCTATATCCTGTAGTCAAGTGCTGACTGATTAGCTGTTCAGTAACGACGGAATCCCAAAGTTTCGAAATCTTTATTAAAATTTCTAAATTGCCCTCGCGCTACTGACAATCTGTAAGTAGTTTACAGGAGGAAAAGTTCACCCGATGAGTCAGTTGCATTTGTTGGTTACTTATCGGTTGGTTCTGGGTCTGTTCTCCACGAGTAGCAATTTACTTGCAAGGATTTCTCCATCTCGACATCATCGGTGCACCGCATTAGTAATAACCGATAGGCGCACCCAAGTGATCAGTGTTTCGAAACACGGCCAATTCCACCTGAATACTTGTCACCCATGGAGTTGGTCCATGAACACGTGACCAAATGATATGGATTCAGTAAGTGAAGAGGAAGTGGTGCTATATCTTGTCTTGGTCCAAATTAATCACACTTCTGAGTAGTTTCTAGCTGCCGAATTGCCAACCGAGAGCTCGCGGGTACGAATCGCCTTGGAGCTTTGTGAGATGCGCACTGCTGATGAATCTCAATAAAGACTGAAACCGCAGTACAGTGCTTCTCAACTTTTCAGAGTAGACTGACTTCGTTTGCAGAACGAAATATCTGTTATTAACTGTTGGAACTGACTGAATTTCGGTGCCGAATTCCTGAGGTCACTGTCGAGATCAGAGTAGATATATCATGAGAATCGACTGCTGGCGTTCAGTATTTCAAATTTCACGACATGATCAGTTGGACAAGTACACTCAGCTGTCTGGTACATGTGGAGCTCTATCAAATGACAAGCAGTAGGCCGACAAACCTGTAAGGTGGCTGGTGCGCAAATGTGCGGTATATGATACGACTAAACCGTAACGCCAAAAAATAGCTTACAGATATTTCAGTAGGATTTGAAGGCTGTTATCCTGAGGATTAGTAACAAGCATTATTAAATTTAGTAGAGGTTTCCTGTCTGTGAAGGTAGTATGCCATATTTTTGTGTGGATGACGCAATATGTACATCCACAAACGATATTATTGGGGGTTGTCTGGAGTGCGGTTCACATTGAATCGGATTTTTGGCGATTTTCCTCAAAATGCTGTACTGGTTTACGAGATTATCGTTGTGTTTCATGCAGACAGAGAAGCAGTTTCCCTTAGACTAACGAATTACTTTACGGTGAGGTCTACATGGTTGACATACTGGCACAGTGGATGGTATGTGCCAGTATTTCAAGCACGCGAGGATTAGCTTTAGTGATATGAAAGATTCACAAAGAATCACACCAGATAATTATGCATTCACTGCATTCAAAAGTAATACATCCAAATTACCGTGATGTTGATAAAAACAGCTCATGAAAGTCAGAGACCTTTGATTTATTCCCTAACAGACAAAACACACGATTTCACTGGTTTGGCTACTCCGCTGCTTACTTTTTATCAAGAAACAGCAAGCTTAGGTCAGATTCCGTTTTAGTTTTTGGAATCAGCATTAGTTTTTAGAAGTGGCTGTGCTTTTCGTCACTGTAGGTGTTCCCAGACTTTCTCATGAAAACCAACGTAAAAAATGAAGTTGTGGAACCACAATAAAACTGGTCCTTTCCTCATGAGTGACCCCCGGACTGTAAACTGAACTATGTGAGACTATTCAAATAACAGTTAATAGGGGACCATCTCACTACGAAACGAATGAACTTTTGTACTTTCAAATAAAGGGAATGCAGATTCATCTCAACCTTTTGTACAAAGTAGCTGCTTTTACCACTGGCCACAATCAGAGTCTATTATCGTTATTATGGAACACCTGTCCATTTTCTTTTTTTAACTACAGTTCACTTTCCACTGTGCTACCACCTGTTATCCATCATCCGTTGGTCAGATTAAATGTAATTTGCAAAACCCGTTGCAGGATTTATTGTCTTGCCAGGAAAGTAGATTTGCAGTGGCAGCAAGGTCTTGCTCGGGTTTAAGAACATCACCTGTCACAAACACATTATCCATTTTGTTGGTTCGCAAAACCTCTGTGACCAAGCAGAAAGAAGGACCAGTCACTGTTGGCTTTTGAATACATATAAGGAAAAACAACAATAACTAGTTTACTTAGATAAAGCCCAAACTCTTACATGGACAATAACAGTGTTGCGTGCACCATTTACGCCGATACCAGTTTGGGATGGCTATTACTTTCCATAAACAATCGTTCAGATTTTGCCTCGTATCATCGCTTTCATAATTCTTCTACAGTCCGAAAGCGTCTCCTGAGCAGGCGGCTGCAGCTAATCCTGCATAATTTGACATCTTTACAGAAAAAGGGTGAATACAACTGGTGATACCCATATAAAACATCTTCGGAACCACGTGGAGACACAACAAAGCTAAAGCACGCATTCTTTTGGCACGAACCTTCAAATTGATCGGGTTGGTATAGAGTACATAAAATGTAAAAACAAGCGCAAATGGACGCGTTACGCATCAATGAAACCGAGTGAACCCAAACTAGGATGAGTGACACTGCACTTAGTGTTCTGCGATCCTAGTGGAGCATAAACACCACGCTGCCAGCTTTTAGGTAGCAATGTGTTTCCTGAATATTCACAGGTGAAAGTAGCATCACATAAAGACGTTTGCAATACGGATAAAATGCGAATGTACATACTGGAACGATACATTTAAGGAAGCTGGCTGATAAGAAAATGCAACCCTAACTTATTCTTGTGGTGTAGTCTTGTTACGATTGACGGAAACCACCGGCGTCAATGGAGGTCCTATTCCTTGAGTGGATGGAAGACAACAAAAAACTGGAGAAACAAGAGGCCGTCTCAACTACGGTCCCTAAACACAACTCACTACGATCTATGTTAACGACAACATGGGTGGAACCTGTTGACCACGGTTCTGCGTTAACCAGAATCTAGTGGTGTGCAACACATGCGCCCAAAAGCGCACTTCTGGTTTTCTTAAAATTAGACCAATGGATCGTACAAAAACGTGCGTAAAAAAAGTTAAATAGTTAAGAAGAGGCGTGGTTTATTATACATATAAACCCAATACAAATGGTTGGAAAACAAGTTTTTTGCAGATCACCGGCTTACATGTCATGTCTACCTCCATGTGTGGAGGTGTGTCACTACAGCTGCCTAAACAAATGGTAAAAAATGAAAGACTTGTGGCACCACCTTAATATAAAAGAAAAAATTTCTGCATCAAACACAAAGTGTAAAAGAGGTGCGAATGCACACCTATGGCTGAGACAATCATAAGAGGGACAGCAAAAGATGAAGGACATCCACTTTAGAGTGTCCAACAAGATGAGTCGACAGACTGTTGTGATGAATTCTGTGTGTTACTCCAAGGCCATTTAGACACTCCAAGAATGAAGCTGTCGTAGTCGACAGACAGAGATGACAGACGGAAAACAAGATGTTGATAAGTACTTGAATGAATTGCAGTACCATGCTACCGAGCCGAGGCTTCTGTCCCAGAATTAGGGCACCAGCATGATGCCTTGACCAAATAGTCCCAACAAGTAGCAAGCACCTAGAGTGACAAATTACATGTTTCTTTTATTCAAAAGACAAATGCGAACAGGAAACCTACCAGGTGACCAGGATACATTGGCTATAAGGCGTTTGCTGAAGAATATCGGAAAAGTGTGAACCAGCACACCACCATGAACATGATTACGGTGGAAAAGACTTTTAGGAAGACTCTGAGAAACCAAATACTCAACGTGGATTTACTTCTTGATAAAATATAGGGAAGAGGAACAAAGGCGAATAGTCCACAGAGTATTTGTTCAATTCAGCATAGTAGTCGGACGCGCTGTATTATGAAAGGTGGTTGAGAAGTGAAAAGTGAAAGGATGTCAATAAGCTAGGAATAGATGGGTTGCTATACCGCCAAATGGAGGTCTTTATCTAACGTTGGTAGCAGAAAGTCAGTATTATCCAGGGTTTTCACCAAGGCGATTTTTAAAAACACGGATTTCGCGAGGAACCCATCGGAGTCCCTGTTGGGTCGAACACCGTGTTTACCTCAATACCTGGTTGGGTAATACAAGTTCGTCATGCCTGTTGTTCCTGACTGGCTAAAATCTGGAAGAACGTCTACAGCAAAGCTGACAAACTGGCATATCATTCCAGCAAACACAGTTCGCTTATCGACGCCAGTAGGTCTATACGTATGATGGCAGAGTAGCACTAGGGACCGAAATAAACGGCTCGGACTCGCAGCCACGTACAACATAGGGTTGTGCATCCAGCATGACCTGACAACACGCCATCACAGAACTAGCAGTGGCCAGGGCCCAAAAGTTTCGCCACTGCTATAGTAAACGTTTACTTGTGGGTCTTATTGGCATTTTGGATGCTTAATGTTAAATTTATTTAAACAGCCATAAATTGTGGGCAGCCGTTCTACTATCTGCAGAGTCGTGCATGCTGGCTATAAAAAGTGCGAGGGCCAGGCACCAGTGTAGTGTTGGGAATGCAATATATGCCAAAGAAGGATACAATTCGCTACGGCTCCTTGCTCTTGAATACAAGCGTTGTAGAGCAACCGGTTATCTATCTTCAGAGTGTGAAATCTTGAGGTTCTTTGATTGTTCCCACTGGCCAACGCCATGTACACGTTGGCACGAAGATTGAGTCTGAAGTTTCAGCTAACAAAAGAGTTGCTCCACGTGTACCAGCCGTTACGGTAGACAGCGGTAGAAGGAAACCACGACAAATACCTGTAACCTGTAACATTGTAACCTGTGCTATTACGGTGAACTAATGTGAACATTGCTTGGCCAGCGCCGTAGTGCTCAAATTATAAGGGTTATACATGGATTAAAAACCAGCTATAATTAATGCCTCAATTACCGTGATGAGGTGGAAAAAATAACTACTGCTCATCGTTTTTAATGATCCCTGCTGACCATCTGCTTCCCAGTGTGATCATTTTATCGACTTTCGAACGTTTTCATCTGCGCCACAAGTTATGCAGTTACAAATGGCGCTTGGCTTCACTTCCATTTTTGTAGCTTAGATGCCATTTCTATTCTGTCTTCCTTTGTTTCCATGTGCATGCGGTGTGCTACTTCGTGTTGCTGTCAAAGCTACCTTATTACTGATTTTTGGATACTGTTTGTTAGTTGGTGTGACCTAGTAATCTGCATTAATAAGCACGATGAATTAGAGAAAGAAACGTGCGATTCTTGAAAATTTTGTGTTTGTTTCGTGTCTACTTTTAGTGTCTGCTTTTTTTCACGTTAATTCTGCGAACGATTAAGGAGTTAGTTCCGAGGATCCAGTGACCTAGTGACTGCTGATTTTCAATGCAATACTCTTCCGACTGTGGAGTCTCATTCACAACCGTAATTGAGCAAATGCGGTTCCGCCTCCATAGCCTCCGTGCCACCCGTACGCTCACTTATAACGTCGATTCCAATGCACTTCCTCCTTGCCTTCACCGTATCACTCCGCACAGCTTCAAAATGAATTTAGTCTTACCGGTGTTAGTAAGTGTAGCCCCATAACCCAGATAAAAGTCTGCATAGAGCAATAACCTACAGCGCACGTCATTTATTTTTATTGAGCAGGACTTAGCTTTTAGATGATCAGTTAAAAATTTCATCTAGTTTGCTTGTAGGGGCTCGTGGTCACTAAGGATACAAATGATTCACCGGAGATTCTTATATTGACCAAAACCAAGCAGTCAACCGAAATCCTATCGGAACACATAAATTCAAAACAAAAATTACACCAGAAAGCTTCTACCTGTACAATTTCTTTGAACCCTTTCGTGGAAATTATGGAGTGGAGCTCAGAGGTTTCGGGGTCAGCGAAGGTTTTCTTGGCATTCTTTCGCACCTTCTTGAAAGCACCTTCATGAGGTTGTTATTATTTGAAATAACATGTTACTGTAGGTGGGTGAGTGTCTCATTAGATAATGTCCCGGCTAGGAACACCAACTGGCGGAAGAAAGCATTTCAGATGCCACGTACGAAAAAACGCTGTTTATTTCAAAAAATATTCGGCTGAGTCAAACCGTCTAGTTCAATTCAGTTGCGTTCAACCTATTTCTGTGCCGGTAACCTGGGTGAACAATGTTTGGATTTATCGCTTTTCTCGTATTTCCTATATCCTCCAAGAATTCTTGCTTCTAAAACAACGGTGACAGGGGTAGTCTGCCCATGTAACCTAAACTGACAAGACTGTAGCATTTGTAAACTGCTCTTTTTCATGCTTAGTATCATCTTCCTTTTCCCCATCATTATCAGTCACATCGCTGAACAAAAGTTTATTTTACCGAAATAAAACCGCTACCGCCTGCTTGTTGGCTCCGACGTGACTTTGAGACTTTTGCTGAGTGACTGTTGTTGTGACCGCCGGTTGGTTATAATTGACCTCTGCTAACACTAAACGTGAATAAACATTTCAGCTACAAACACTGGACTATTATATTCACACTTGTGGATTAATATTTCGATCACCGGAGATCTGGAATACCAGGAAAATAGAACTATTCTTGGTGTGGTGGTTCAACGGAATACGGAACTACGGAATCTCCTATTTTGAACTGAGTCAAGATTTACTTAGATTTTTCTCCTTGTGACTTTGTATCTGGCTTACATTATTAATTTGTTCTGTTCAATAGAAACTCATAGGGCCGTTAACCACTACATATTTGGTGAGCCCGAAAATTTTTTGCTTTTTTCCGTTTTTCTTGCGAGCTCAGAACTCACATCTCTCACGCATACACTTGGTCCAGTAATTTTTTTAACCATGTCTAACGAAGAAGGACTCAACACTGAGTTTGTTGAAAACGCCGTTCACGTAAAACTGCCAGCTTTTGGGGTCCGTAACCCTAGAGTATGGTTTATCCAACTGTAGTGTTACTTCCATTTCCGCCGAATTACCTCACAGCAGACCATGTTTTCTTACGTGGTTTCTCAACTCCCGACCGAGGTTGCCGCGGAGGTTATTGACCTGATTGATCCTATGCCGGTATTAAATCTCTACACCACACTAAAAGCAGCAGTTATTAAACGAACAATCACTTCGGACGAAGCGAATCTGCAGAAATTGCTTGCAGGGTCGAACTGGGCAATCGCACACCTTCGCAACTGCTACGGCACATGCAAAGCCTTGCATGCGGGAAGTCTTTTGACGACGCAGCTTTAAAACAGTTGTGACTGCAGTGTCTTGCCTTAAGCACTCGCCAAATTCTGACTACCCAGTCAGATCTCTCTCTGTCGTCACTCGGTGAGACGGCAGATAAGATTCACGAGTGCTTCACTGACCGTTTGATAGCCTCAGCCTCACAACAGCCCATTCAGCGTAACGACAACCATGTTATAGCTCGCCTCGATCAAATGTAGGCGCAAATCGATCAACTGGTGGATACGGTAAACAAGGTGGTCACCACAGCGGCGCGGACTAACACTTCACGTTCGTCCCGATCGGTTTCACGTAAACCGAACTCTCCATCTTGGAACCCCAGCCGATTTTGCTGTTATCACACAAAATTCAAGGAAAAGGCTCCACGTTGCACACCCCCATGCACCTATTCTCTCACCAGGGAAACTCGCTGGATAGTCAGTAGTGGCGACAGCTGCCACTGGCCAGTCACCTAGTGTCCTCTACTACGTTACGGGTAGAACCACCGGAATGCGGTTCCTCGTCGACACCGGTGCAGAACTTCGCGTTATTGCTGCCGAAAACTCAAAACGCTACACTTCTAACCCGCTAACGACACTACATGCGGCTAACGGCACGCGCATAGCTACTTTTGGTCATAAGTCACTGACGCTTGAAGTGGGTCTTCGGCGTTCATTCCCCTAGATTTTCACTGTCCCAGTCATCGGTGCGGACTTCGTGACCAACTTCTCGTTGGCCGTCGATATTAAGCGGCAAAAGCTTTTGGATTCTTTAACGTCGCTTTCCGTTCCATCATTCTAGGTCGACCCTCTCGGTAATCACGTCGCGCTTATTTCAAACCTTCCGGTTTTCGACGATTTGATCAAAAAGTTTCCAAGCTTGAGTACGTTCGAAATCGGTTTCGTTTATCCCTCGTGCAAATTTGTGAAAAATTTGTCGTTGTTCAATCTATTCACAAAGTACACACGAGTAATTGTTGAATTTTATTACCCTGACAAAACATCTGAGTGATAACCCTTCATATTTTGCCCACACCTCCTATTTTACATCTAGTCCGAAACATGACATCAATCTATACCGATTACCCTCCGCAGCTATTGATAGACCACAACAGATGTGGGCGAAATGGCTGCCCGTCGGACGTCAAACGCGGTATGCAATGCCACGCCTGAAAGGCCTGGTGGCATTTCAAATGCACGGGTTTACAGGACGACCAGATAAGCCGACTAGCCAACTCTCCTGACCCGTTTGTCTGTGCCAGCTGCCTCTATGTCAAGGGTGCAATGCATACCGCAGCGAAGAGAAGAGTCCCCCGAAACGGTACCCAATCCCCAGTGCAGATGCCGAAAGACCACTGCCAGTGTTCCGCTTTAATCGGGATACTCGACGCGAAATTAGAGCGTCTTTCGAAGGCACTGGAGGACTCAGGCGCTAAGAATGCAGCGACCTGGGCGAAAGTCGACAAGGAACTTTCCTCGCTGAACCAATACCTCGCGATGTCCATACCGGGTCCCATGGCTGCGAAGAAAGTCATACAACTTTCTGACGCGGATATAAAAACCGCCTCAGCGTCTCTAGTGGACAGACGACTAAGGAGAAACAGGCTGATAATCTGGGGGTCATTCTCCCAAAAACTCACGCCATAAAAGCTGACACAGTAGATCCTGAGCAAGCCTGATAAATCGCCTCATGCAGAATGGCTACGCCAGAGGGGAAGTAAGCGAACCCTTGGTCTTCTAGTCACCCTTTCTTCCCCGTCCGACGCACAGGAAATCTTGGAGCGGGCTGGCAGCATTCAAAAGGTCAACCCAATGGTCAGGCGCCTATCTGAAGATCGTCCTCTAGATGCGCGTAAGCTTGGTCACAACAGGTCAGGAGTGGAAACACGAAGCAAGCTTCCACCGGGCAACAAACCATACGACCCCAAACTCATGACCAAGCCGATTGTGGT